ATTCAGGGTTCTCAAACTAAAAACCGTATAAGTTCCGCGTACAGAAAGCCATACATTTTTCTACGGTAATAAAGGGGGACCATATAGGGTTCATAAAATTAAGCAGTGGATTTGAGCAATATTGTTAACTTTACAAGCCACATTCGTGAATGCAGAAACATGACGTTTTATGAAAGGACATTTCACGGTAGTAAAAAATCTCACAATCAGAAACTTTTTAAAACCGAATCATATTCTTCCTTCGAGTTTAAAATGGAAAGAAGACGTAGTTTTCTACTGAATGAGCAAAAGAATGAATGCTTGTATGCATGTTTTTGCAAAATATAATTAAATCTTTGAGGACATCGAAAATCAATGAAAAACGCATGCTACTTAAGTAGTCATTGTTTACGGAGTATGGTTTTGGATGCAGCCAAAAAGGAGTTTGTTCGAAAGCCAGCATCCTGAGGTAACTGAATTATTATAGAATTATGCTGCGAGATGATTGGTTTTACAACCCTACTTAATTAATCTTTTCGAAACGGAAACGTATTTCGGAATTTCTGTTGAGATTTCATGAGTTAGCCCACCTACTGTAACTGCGAGCTTCAGGCCGGCAGACAGCTTGTCTTTTGCCGACTGCCTTAGTCCATTTAGGAACTCGCCTGCTAAAATGTCACTCCCCCCATTGCCTCACGGATAGGCCTGTGCTCCGCCTCAAGAAAAGGTTGTCTGCTACATGATGTCCCCAGGACCCGCGATGTGGCAAACTGGTTATTAGGCAACTCTGCCAAAACACCTATTAAACCGGTTACAATCGTTCTTAGTAAACAACGATGGCAATAAACGAGCATCCACCGAAAGTTCAACACCCGCTAGCGCCCCTTCTGCCTTTCTCTTAGCTGCACAAGGCTGTCAGACGACCGGCCGGTTGATGGGGACATAGGGTTTAATTAAGCCCTCACTGGGCCATTTCTAATACTTGAAAACACAGCAGCGAACCTATTTGAAGCTTTTGTGTCCTTCCAACAAACGGTAGTCCTCTCTTTGTTTCGGAAGTTACGCAATCATTTTCATCAGCTGGTCTTGCACACTTCTACATCCAGCACAGACATCGTTTGCTGGTGTCACATTAAACTGGTAGCCATGGTTCGTTGATACGCCTGCCCCCCCGTACTCTTTCAACCCAGGAAGGGGCTGTCGAGGAAACAGATCGACACAACACTACTCTTTCGCGTTTTCTGCGTCAACGATAGCGGGAATGGTGGTCGTTTCATCTGTAATACCTACGTCTAAACCCGTGGTATTCGTCGCACACTGGTCGGCTGTTTTTGCGATAACGCCAGCCTGTTTTTCCAAGTCGCAAATTTCCCGATCGCCATCTTTGGTTTTCATTCCCTTTCCTCGTTCATCGGATTCTGGCAGGCTTTCCCGCGGATCTTCACTATCGCTTGCACCACCTATGCCATCCTAAGGGTGGCATTTAGCTTTGGTTCATTTTCGGCCATCAAGATTCCCCGCCAACCATAAGTGACTTCATTTCAGTGATCTGGTCACGAAGTTCCCTCTTGCGGATTTCCACATGCCCTATTTTCCAACCGATCCTGCCCGCTACTGCGGACTCAGTCTTCTCAGTCTTAACATCGTCGACCCCCCACGATGCTGTTAGTCTTATCAGGACCACGGCTTTTTCCGTGTTCATTCGGGCACACCGTCTCGTGCCTGCCCCTCCCGCTGTCGCCAAGGTTGACTTTGAGCAAGCGCTTCGACCTTGAAATGAGCGTCAGTGCACATGAGCCTTTGGGCGTGTCGTTAAAAGATGCTCGCAAAGGTCAACATTTGTGGCTGGTGCCCCTACAGTACTACTCGACTCGGAACAACACTACTACCCTGTCACCACAACAGACAACCTTTATTAAAACATACTTCACGACCTAACCCGGAAGCAAGCGGAAGAGGAGGGTGGATAAGTGTGTGCCCGATGAGGAGGGAAGAACAATAGTTGCCTGGGCGTTAAGAGGTCATATATCGTCAAGGAGCTCGCAGTTATGTTCACGCGAGATGTGTCATCAGTCCTGAAGAAGGAGACACGATCGCTGGGACAAGAGCTTTATTAGCCCGACGTTTCGGATTCCTGCTCGAACCCATCATCAGAGACACCAACACCCAACGCACGTGATGAAATTGCAGCAATTAACGACGCGAATGTTGGCCATCAAATAATTAGCACACCATGCGCGACGATCCCGGATGAAGGGGGAAGCCGTGAATGTTCATAGGTTTGCGGTAGCATGGCGACTGCATCCTATAAGTACTGCAGCCCCTTGTGCATGAACCACCCGTATCTGCTTTTGTCTCTGCTGATGGGATCGAGCAGGAATCCGAAACGTCAGGCTAATGAAGCTCTTGTGCCAGCGATCGTGTCTCCTTCTTCAAGACTACTTCCTGGGACTCGTCTCTTGGCTTCTATTGACAATGTATCATCAGTGTCAGTTCATGCGTGTAACATGGTCGTGCCGCTAACTAACCTACATATTTCATTCACATATACAGACGAGAAGCGCCACCGCAAAACCCGAAGTCCAGATCGAAGGTGAAAAGTAACGCTTAAAGACTTTTCCCGTCTAAAGAAGCGAGTGAAAAAAGTGACTGGAAAATTAAACATCATGTTTCAGGCTGCTTTAATAGGGGTTGATCACTGTTATACATAGATGTTCATGCTAAACGACTACATACATGAGGAACCGCACGAGGTACTCATTCTACTTTGCACCGTCTGGTAATCAGCTCTCTCCATCGGTGTCCCCAAGAGGTCGTGTTGAGCGCAACTGCCACACTGCCTATTTCGACTGGTGAAGGACATGCGACGACGGTAGCCAGCTCGCGTTGAGTGCGGCTAAGAACGAGTATTCGTGGGAATGAAAGAAACACCAAGTTTATCTCCCTCGCAGAAGGGAGTGACCGGATGTGCTAACCAAAAACACCAAGCCGAGTTTGACTGCAAGACTGTGGGTCTTTGGAGAGCATTGCGTGTGATAGATATGTACTTGTTAAAATCTCCCCGTATTAAATATGGGATGAATTGAAGTTGGCGATAGCCACTGCAACTTTTGTGGTTGGTGGTCGTTTTTGCTTCACTGTGGAATATCCGATTTTAATAAATGGCGCCGACTTAAATGAGAACAGTGGAATGGCCATTTCTGGTTTGTTAGGCGTCCACAGAGGGGTTGGGGTATCGGTGGCTTATAACGACAAACATGCTCCCTTTCGGGCAGCACTTCCCGATTATGGATTATTAATCGGCATGTGACCTCTGTGTAAACTGTAGACTTTCAGCTACAAGAAAAAAGGCAAATGTCCGACTTTGTCCAGTAATCAGGATGGATTGGTACACGCTGTTCTCATATAGCCAATGCCCGCTTTATCCACATAAGCAGAATATCGTTTTATTGCCTGCAAGTTTTTGTCTACTTATGAGCACTGGAGACCTACATGCTAGACATGCTGTAAGTTAAGCGTCCTTTCGTTTCTTAGCAGGGACCTGGAGTTTAAATCCAGGCATACTTCGGCATTGGTTGGCTTGCGGTAGACTGTAGAGAAAATAAGGCTGTAGACATCAGCGAAGGCCTGATTCGGTTGTGAACACCTAGCACACGACCGTTTACCCCTGGCCAGCATTGATTAGCATCTTAACCCACATTTAACGTAGTCAAGCGACCGTGAGCGAGCTATGTTTAATTTAAACTAAGTAAAAATAAAGCATATATCTATGTATTTGAGGTAAATTTTTTACACAGTCTACCAGTATCACGGGCTTAGTTAACTATCATTCGACTATCCGTGAATGATGTAGTTGTTAGGATTCGAGGTAATTGGAGTTGCGATATCTCTTACCTCAATGACGGACGTGGATTTACTTTAGACAAATGTTTATGTATAAAATTCTTCGTCCGTGCCTATAGACCTTGATTAAACTAATCTACCCCAACTTCGTAGATAATTTTTGAGGGAATTAAAAAGCGAAAATTTCTAAGTAGGAGTATCTACCAGAAAACACACGGAGAATGCTGGGGGACCCACTGACGAGCCGAACCCCTCGCAGCTGCGCCATGCAGTGGCAAAGAATCGGCGAAACAAGCGTGTATGGGCTTATGGCTAGTATCTGTGCTGTTAGTATGGTATCACCTTACCCTAAATTAGACAGTCTCTCGCACCTTCCCTAAGTCAAACTGACTGTCACCTAACAAAGCAACGTCTTACTGTTCCGTAGTAACGGATAACGGCAAAAATTAAAAAAAAACGTTGCCAACAATGGTAGGCAGCAGTGAATGACGTTACTCATATTGCCCAAAGAGGTCACTCTCTCTTTTTCCGTTTAGTTGGCAGACACTCGCGCTCGCCGATTGGTCACCGTGCAGACAGCACAAATACCGGTGTTTGTAAGCAATAAGAGATCAATTTTCTGTAAATTCAAACAGTACACACGAGAGAATTTGCGCAACCAAGTACGCATTAATATATGCGCTGAGGGGAGAAGGAGAGACAGAACATTTTAACTTTTGGCAATAGAAAAAAGACCAAGGACGTTAACTGGCGCATCTGCGTTAGGTGCCTCCACTGTTTGTCAAAGCGTCTGAGAGACGCCCATTAGCAAGGCGAATTGAGCAAGTATTGTTAAAACAGCCGGTTGCAGGTAATGAGGACTGTGAACTTGTAAGTATAGAAGAACCGGTATAAAAGAGAACAGCGGGTGGCGGTCAGTGAGAAGGTAGAAGTAAGAAAATTGAAAATAGAGTCACCGTCTGATATCCTACAGCAGTAATGCGCGTGAGTGAATGTCACAGGTCCGAGTGTGCAGCCAGCAAGGCCGGAGAGTGAGAGATAGAGGTTAGTGCTCAAACACACACACACACACACACAAACATGCAAACACGCAGACGATAGTACACTGGACGTTCATCTAGTTTCAGTCCAAAAATAGACAAGTAATCGAGTATCAGAAAGCTCAGCAGTCAGACGATTCAGTGTTCTTCCGTCGGTACCCTAGTGTCGCCGTCTCTCCGGATGTGACTGGAGCCGTTGATTACCACCGCGTCGGAATCCAACTGCGTCGTCTGTTGAATAGCGCGATTCAGGGCCTGGAAATAATCACAGTAAAGAAGTCACATTGAACCTTTGTTTTGGCCACATCTGCGCATTTAAATATTTTGAAACAATGTAGTGCGTACTGCAAAAATCTAGGCTGATGGTATGTTCATGGTTAATATGCTTGTTGAGGTCGTCCAGCAAACGATTTATCACCAGACAGATTCAAACAACAAACCGCGTGAATTGGCGCAATACCTCCACCTTCCTAACACCGCAATGCCGGGCAGGGGTAAAACATAAGAAGGTTCGCGATTTAAACTAATTTCGCAGATAAACGTTCTGTTTTCGAAGTTTCGCATTTATCGTGGATAGTTCTTCCAACGGTCATAACAATAAAAAAACGCGAACTTTACATTATAGGTGAGGTCATATCTACACTTTTCCATATATTAACCAGAAGGACTGCTTAAATTAGTACATTATAAATTTACTAGGTCGAAAACACAGTCCGCATTTGAATCCCAGTCAGCTACTGGGGATCCAGTGTCCCGTACTTGTCTGTCGCAGAGAACAAATACCAGCTCACTAGCGAGCAGTCGGCATTTATCCCTCTCAGTGAAAAAGTTGGATCTTCGAAAACTTTTTTATATGAGCTGTGTTCAGTTTCCAAAATTGAGGAGGCATCACAATACTCCGGCAACGAGTGACTATTGTTGGCTATTAAGAACTATGAGTCGTCAGGAACTGGATCAACTGGAGTGCGAATTGTCTGCTTGTAATTAACTGCGGCATATGCTTTCTTGTGTCCTCCAGAGATGACAAACATAGCGACCACTATGTAGCGGTGTCTGCTTTGAAGAATGCCCACGCGACTTAGAGACGCACCAAGATGGCCCTCGGAAAAGAACAAGACACAGAAGACAACCGGAATAAATCAGACTCATTCGGTGAGGTCGATGCACATAAGCGGAGTAAGCGAAAAGTTTTACTGACAAGGACAGAGATGTTGAAACGATCGTTTCTGAATTATTGGTCATTGGTAAATGATGATTCTACAACCGCCAGTAATGGCATATCCAGATCAGTTACTCATGGAGTAAGGCCCATGTCATGCCAGTTAAGATGGGGATTGCCGCTTCACATGGTAATGTCGTGAATCGGTCTCTACTGATTGCAGGACGAAAATCACAAAGCGGATCTCCGAGCCATCAGTGAAAATTGGTTGTTAGGCACATCTTCGGCGCCGACCGAAAATTCGTAAAATTTGGAGGACTCCTCTTAGTCTGTCCAGGGATTGGCGTCGGAGAGTTGCTCACCTATGAGGTTACAGTGTTCATCCCGTCTTACCTTTGATTTCCACTCTAGAGGCCCGCAGGCAGCCGCAAGGCGACAAGTAACTATGCAGACGAAGTGTCGAATAGACAAAAAGACTGAAATGGTCGTCCCTTGCTCGCCAGTCGTTGTCAGTCAGCCATACCCGACTGGGCTTTGAACAACCCGCAACTCGAACCCAGACCTCCTGGTAATTCAGCGTAAAGCCGAACACACCATTAAACCACGAACCTGGTGGAACCTCTATGAATGTGGCCACTATCGCGTCGTCAGTTACTAACTGGCGGCGCTTGCTAGAGTACAGCTCTCGTCCAATAGCATTTTATGGGGACGTAGGGCCCCGTTTACTCGAAACTAACGATGACACCACGAGAAGCCAGGGGTTACAGGTTTTAGGTCAGCCCCCTGAACTCACGAGAATCGGTTTTCTGGTGCCGTCCTTATTGGGTTACGCAACCGCTGTAAGCCCGGTTACCGGTCTGAAGCAGACAGTGGTACTGTCATTGCGGGTCACATGTCTGGCTAATGCGGTGGGGAATATGCAATAGGTGACGAAACATGGTGAAAATACAATCAACTTGCGAGCGAATTCGCTACTGACCTTTCTGCAAGCATGATTTGTATTTACGTCTAAAATGTAGTTCATGCCAAGGGACCGTTTTCAGGGGCTTTTTCAGCATAAAAATGTTCCTTTCCGTGCGGCAGGCAAAAGGTTCAGGTTGACGCGCTAGGTGAATGGAGGTCACAATATCAGTTCGAGCATACTTCTCACAAAGCAAGTATTCGTGTTCTGGAAAAAAGTGTCCGTGAGTCAGTCCGAAGCATGCGGGTATCGATTTTTCCACCCTCTGTGTGTTAGGAGGGTATTTAGGGAAAAGTTGCGGGGGGAGGAGTGCCTCCTGAATCAAACACGAAATTCCCGGGGTATGCGCAGGTTTGACCGTGGAGTACACACAGAAAGCACGAAACGCACGATACGCAGCCAACGTCTGCTGCTGCGTCGTCAGCAAAAGCCACCAACACATGCCTGTCTACTGGAGTTAGAACGCGTACGCGCTCTAAGATGTGGCAGACATTAGGTGTTGGCTTTTACTAAGCGTTTTTGAATAGTATTGGGGTCACCCTACGTACAGGAAGAAGCAGAGCATACGAACAGGACACAGTTAAGTAGAAAGTGCTTATTCTTGAGTCGCTCAAAACGTTAGTAGACAGTCGAAGACCCTACATCGACAAACCAATAGGGCTGCGCTGTTAGCTGAAGCCATTGAGCGGGTTGATATTGCATAACGACCTGGCATTCATCTCAGTGAACATAAACCAACCGACCAAAAGCATGATTCAAACTCCTCGCCCTTAGGTGTATTTCGAAAGCGATGCTGCTTGACCTATTGGCCTGGTTCGCACCTGCGACAGTTCCTTGAGGCCTGAATCTCTGTCATAAGGAGCACTGCTTGTCATGTCTACCTCGATGCATACCACGGAAGTATCTCAATCGTATTTCCCATTTACAAGTTTGCAATATTATTTTATTACCCATTTTCTCACGATACTGCTACCAACACATGGAAATCGAATTAAGTCTGACTCGGTCTCGTTTTTTCCCTGTTTCTTCGCTCATATCCTCAGTGTGTGAAAGTCGACTGCAGCCGAAAAGTGTGGTCAGGTACTCTTGCGAACAGGTATTTTATTCCTAAATACATTAACAAAAACGACCCATGACGTCATCTGAGACAAAAACATTCCCAAAAATACACAGAAACTTTTCAGTCTTCAAAGAGTGTCGTCTACGTTTGTGTCCAGGAAGCTCGGAGAGCACCGTACCTGATTTCTTGAAAGGTAAGATTATGAATAATAATACGTCTACGCGCCATGTGACTTACCATTACGCCAAAACTGCTACGGGAACACGATCTTGTTGGCAGAACAAATACAATGTAAATGATTTTACGACCTTGCGTGGTTTAATTGTTGGATGCTGAGTAGAGTTTTATATCTGGCAGAAATAATTTTGATTCCCGCGAAGTCGACGACTCCAATTAAACAGAAAATAGCATGGTTATTATCCGACAAAGTAGGCACAGTTAGTGAAAGTTTGCCGCCAAGAGCCAAACGGTCTCTAATGATAAGTCCTGTCATATGTGAGCTGTCAGGCAGTCAAACTACTTCAATTCCATGGCCGCGAAGGACAAAATTGAACCAGTATTCAGTTAGTTCCAGAGCCTTAAGGTATGTCTCCAGGTCACGGGCCCCAACTCTGTCAACTGTGCTCCGGGGCGTCAAAAGATTGTCGTTTCCTTACCTATCCGAATTGCCGCATGGAATACAGATTTTGGTCGACACGATAATTTATAACAGCCACAATGGTTCAGACATCCCTACATCATTACACTCTAATGGCACACTAACACAGCCCCCAACACAGGCTACTTAGCAAGTCTGGCGGATCAAAGGCAGGTCAAACTGGCACGATTTTATCGGACTGGGTCGTGTCTACGCGGCCTTAACGACTGACGCACATGTGAGTGGCACGCCTTTGACGGAGCCTCACGTTAAATCAGTTGCCGCGTCCAACTCCATGGTTGACAGGACCGGACAGTCCGTTGGTACTTGGTATATGGAGGACTGAAACCGATATTGGGACTTCATCATCACGACATATCGGGACATTACTCATTACAATAACTTCAAAACGATTAAAGAGACCACGATGCGCTAAGAATCGTTGCTTGGGAGGTTACCAATGGACGGAACAACTCAGCCCTTCCTAGGCCGGGGCCCGGCGTCAGTGGCTACTTCTTGATGAGGTCCTTATGGGATTCCCACCAAAGAAAACCCGAAGATGCTCTAAAAATGTGACCTAGTGCGTTTTTAGCATCTGCAAGCCCGTGTGGGGCACGCGTAGACAGACCACTGCGTCCATGCCCACCGGTTGCGTCTTGATACTGATTTGTCCTGCAGAAGGTGGGTTAACTCATGAAATGCCAACCAGTATTCCGAAATGCGTTTTCGTTTCGAAAAGATTAATTAAGGAGGGTTGTAAAACTAGTCAACCTGCAACATAATTCTATAATAATCCAGTTACCGCAGGATGCCGGCTTTCGAATGAATTTCCTTACGGCTGCATGAAAAAACTACACTCTGTAAAAATGACTACTTTAGTAGCATGCATTTTACTCGTTGATTTTCGATGCCCCTTAAAGTCCAATTATATTTCAAAATATTCATTCTTTCGCTCATTCGGTAGAAAATGTCATCTTCTTCCGATTTCATACTCGAAAAAAGGGCGTAATTAGGTTTTAAACAAGTTTCTAATAGTGGGACTTTTAAATACCGTGAAATGGTCGTTCATAAATCGTCATATCTCTGCATTTACCAATGTAGCTTGTAAAGTTAACAGTATGGATCATATCCACTGGTTGATTTTATGAACGCTATATGGTCCCCTTTACTACTGCAGAGAAATGTGTGGTTTCCCGTACGCGAAAAATATACAATTTGTAATTTGGAGACCCTGAATCCAAGTGTAACAGTAGAGCGGGTACAAAATTATTCAGAAATTATAAAATTGTTCGAAAACCGAATTATACCCTTCCTTTGAGTATAAAATTGGAATAAGGCTTAAATGTCTACTTAATGAGCGAAAGAATGGATATTTTTTATGCATGTTTTCCCTGAAATATAATTGGGCATTTAGGGACATCGAAAATCCATACGAAAAATGCATGCTACTTAAGTAGCCTTTTTTACAGAATGTAGTTTTTGCATGCAGCCGGAAGGAAGTCCACTCGAAAGCCGGCATCGTGCGGTAACTGAAATATTATAGAATTATGTTGCAGATTGATTAGTTTTACAACCCTACTTAATTAATCTTTTTGAACGGAAAACGCCTTTCGGAATACTGGTTGGCATTTCATGAGTTAGCCCACCTACTGTAGGTGCAGGAAAGATGAATGATTAATTAATGCGCGAGTCGACTCCACGTCCACCTTGTAGGGCATTGACAAACGTCATTGCCCGCGGCATTGAAGCTATCATGTTGGTTAAATGTGCTTGGATTTCTTAGAATACTCCTACTTGTAATGACTTCTACTCATTCTATTCTCCCATTATCGACCTCTCTTCGACACATCTGGTTTTTGATCGTTTAAATTTTTGACTTCGTTTATATCAAAGGAAAATTAGTTTGCGATTTTAAGTCTTCGGCTATGGATTTGGGCGAAGTATACCTTATCTTAACTCCTAGTACAATTAGAAAAAATCTTGAGAACCTGAATAGACCGTAATAAAGACCCCGGCTGCTTGGACCATCGTAGAAGCTGGCATACTTGGCACAAACGAAGAGACCGTTCACAGTCCAGAAGTGTGGTCAAGCCAATGCGTGCCAACATGGACAATTATTTGACCGGCGGCAAACATTCAGGCGTGGACCCTCACTTCAGTGAAAGACGTCGTACTTGCGCAGGTGACAAACTGGAATAATCACTCCAACAGTTGCCGTTTGGCAACAAACTTATTAGAGATTACATGATTTTCGAAACCGCAATAGATGCCGTACAATCTCTATTCAAAAACCACAAGTATGTACCCCTGTGACAATAACTTAGTGATCATTGACAAAATGAAGGTCCACCAACGGCAAAAAGTGACTTACTTCATCCTCGTTCTCCGGCGGCGTCGGATTGATACCATTCGTTTCGGGAGCCTTCGAGTCATACGACCTGGTAACGGTGTGCTACAGAATGAAGAAATTATATGCGGTAAGCAACCTATTAGGTTGAAGAACAAAAATTGACTCGGTCTAACCCTAAGCCTGCCTCGGAACAGAAGCTTCAATTAAATGGTAAATAGGCAGAAGTCATTTTCAGACTGACATTCTCCATCAGTGGGAACTTTATCATCTCGTACGCATGTTCACGACAGCGGGCAAAGAGAGGGGGCGAATGTCAGTTCGGAGACTTAAGCCGTTAGATGTGTGCCAGAACCAAATCCGAAAAAAGGCTATTTGACGCCAGATAAACCGTGACGGGATGAGAATTTGGGAATAGTTCAAAGGACGCAAATCAGGTGCCACTCCATCCGATGGTATTGGTGGGGCGGACGAAACAGAGGATTGGTAAAAACTCCCATGAATTCGTCTAACTCCTAGTTTTCGGGTAAAATTACGTGAAATACAGCCATACACCGTGGCGTGATAACCTTTGGGTGGCAGCCTTCCTTAATAATGGAAAAAAGGCAGCATTGGCAACAACCGTTTTGCCTGATGATGTTAGCTATTCAACTGACGCCACCTATTTCCTTATAAAGGATAACCGACGGCAATCTCGACCATTTTAATAATTCAACAAACCATCATAAGACGTAAGAGCAAGGGTTTGGGTGAAGGAAGGCACAATTTAGAGACCAAGAAACGTTTGTTTGAAAGTCTCCGATCTCGTATCTGCCAATTTATTAAGTATTTTGGGTTGTCCAAGATGTATTGGGATATTTGATGAGCGGTTGCATATATCTTATTGGCGGTATAAAAAAAAGAATTTTTAAAAGGATATTAATACACCCTGATTTGGGGCTGAAAGAGTATGTGAAATGGCAATGTGTAGTTCAAAAAATACTACGTTCAAAAAAATTCCCGATAGGAAAGAACAGGCAAGTTCCAGGAATCAGTTCAGAAGAAGACGATACGATCATTGGAATAAAAATTTTATTGGCCTGACGTTTCAGATGCCCACTCGTCCTCATCATCAGGCGCAGTTGCTTAAAACAAGTTCGAGTGAGAGTCCGAAACGTCAGGCCAATATACTTCGTGTTCCAGTGATCGCATCTTTTTCTCCTGAATTACACTCCAAATGCTAGAGGGAAAGGTTTTAAGAGGGCCTTCTTTCACAGACAGTTACTGTAAACCTGAAATTTTAACAGCATCACCCAGGAAGAATAAGCAAATTAACTTGAACCCTCAAAACCATGGGAAAATTTTATGCAGTATAAGCACAAGTTTTCACGAGTGAGTTCACCACATATGATTTGTAGTCTCTTCTATTGACAGTCGCCATGCCCCAATACATCAATTCCTCCAAATCGATTCCTCCTGCTAATTGCTTTTGCTAATCAACTTTTGTAGGTTATTCACTTTGAAGGCAAACGTGGAGTTCTCGCCCAATAGTTTGCAAACTTCAGCAGTAAAGTGACCTACTATTTATCAACTTATTTGCGGATTAGCCAAACTTTCTGAAAAGCAGTTTTCTGAGAGCCTGTAATTCAGGTTGTGGCCAAAGGTCATGAAATAGTGGATTGTGACATCTGGGGATAATTATCAGCTTCAGTTTACTAGATGTAAAGTGAACTACATCAGTCAAGCCGGCGAGGGTGGTAAAGGCGAGTGGATGGGTACGCCTAAACAGGACGCGAGACTGCCTGTTTCACCCCAGGGGCGACATGCTCAAAATAATCCGTACAAGCTGCACATTTAAAGAGCGTAGGAGACAACATCCCGGTTAAACGGACGCCGGAACCCAGGTATATGAATCCAGCCTCCGCGTTTAGTTACACTATCCTGCCTGTTAAAAAAAGACAATGGAGCACAAGGCTGGAACATAGTTATTTCATGTGGCACGACTTCGCGAATGCAATGAAAACTATTGCCGTCTGCATAGACACGACTAAAAGATTGCTTTAAATGAGAGCGAAAAGTTTGGGAAGCGCTCCTGCGACTAAATTTTAGGACCGTACTGAGAATCTATGCACGAATTCCAATTGAGCACATCATAATCCAGCTGAATGAGGACGTAGTAATAACACTTCTTCAAGGCAGCATTATTCTATTTAAGCTAACAATCTCACACGATGCGCGTGATCAGTAAAAACTCTTCCAGTAGCATTGTGCAGCCAAAGATCTGAGAATATATGACTGGTCTTTTTGGTTGTGCCTGCGATGGAACTGCGATCAAGCGGTTTCAGATAGTGCAAAGTAATCATTTACAACGGACAGTGAGGCCGGGATGGAACCTAAAGAGTCCTGCGCCGATCCCCAACAGAAATCATATAGAAGACGCTGGGAGACCCACAAGGGAGTTAAATCACCCGAGTCTCACTTTACAATCGCGGGGCAGTTGCTTGAGCTTTTGATTCGTACTCTATTGGAAGCACGTGGAGATAGCGTGCAGTCTTTAGAACATACATACTACTATGGTATTTTGTCATCACCCATGAAGACGAAATTTTGGCATTGGGCTGCCATTTTCCTTTTCCTCTGACTCATAAAAAAGTTGTGCTTTTGCCAACAAATTTGCCTGCCCTCTCCAAAAACAAACAAAATTGCCCTTTTTCTTCTTTATATTTGGCGGTTGGCTACTCTGGCCATTGTCTGCGAAATAAACGGACATCATACCTCACGAGCCCGACTTATCTCAAAGTCTCAGCATTATTAATTTTTCACGTGTTTCCTAACATGGGATGAAAGAGATCTTCCGCTAACAATTTTGGTTAACAAGGAATGTAGACGTTCTTCTTTCTTCTCCTCCTTCCTATTAAATCAAAGTATATCCGGCTACATCGGAACGAAGTTGTTTTATATCAGTCGATGGCGTCAGTCACCTCTTGGGCTCGCGATGACACCCGTGGTCACGTATGAAACACTTGTGGAGTAAAGTTACTGCAGGAGGTGGGTTAACTCATGAAATGTCTGCCGAAATTTCGAAATGCGTTGGCGTTTCGAAAAGATTAATGAAGTAGGGTTTAAAAAATAATCGCCAAGCAGCTTAATTCTATAATACTCCAGTTATCTCAGGGTGTAGACTATTGAAAGAACTTTTTGCCGACTGCATGCAAGAACTATGTTCTGCAAAAATGCCTACTTAAGTAGCATGCAATTTTCCCATTGATTTTAGATGCCCTTAAAAATCCAATTATACTTCATGGAAAACATGCATTAAAATATTTATTTTTGTTCTTCCGGTAGAAAAGTACGTCTTCTTCCAATTGTATACTCAAAGGAAGGGTATAATTCGGTTTTAAAAAGGCTTATAACTATGAGATTTTTTAATGATCTGAAATGACCGTTCATAAAACGTCATGTCTCTGCATTTACCAATGTAGCTTGTTAAGTTGACAATATGGCTCAAATTCACTGGTACTTTTTATGAAACCCACATGGTCTTCTCTTAATAACGTAGAGAAACGAATGGTTTTCTATATGCAGAAAATATATAGCTTGTAGTTTGCAAGCCCTGAATGCAAATGTAGCGGCAGGTCAGGCTCAAAATAATTCGGGAATCGGCAAAGTTTTGGAAAACCGAATCATACCCTTCCTTCGAGTAAAAAATGGAAGAAGACGTAATTTTCTACCGAAAGAATGAAAGGATGAATGGTTTATTTATGTTTTTCATGCAATATAATTGGATTTTTAAGTTCATCGAAAATTAATGGGAAAATTGTCTGCTAATTAAGATGTTATTTTTGCAGAGCATGCAATCGGAAAGAAGTTCATTCAAAAGCCGACACCCTGAGGTAACTGAATTATTATCGAATTATGCTGCATGGCAAGTAGTTTTACAACTCTTTTTAATAAATCTTTTCGAAACGGGAACGCATTTTGAAATTTCAACTGACATTTCATGAGTTAGCCCACCTACTGTATCTGCGAAATCAACGTCCTCACATTTACAACCATCGACGCACTCGTTCACAATAAGGTGAGCTGGCCTGTGCCTGTAAGCTAAGAGATGAGCCAGCACGCGTTTGGTGGACCGCGTCTACAGGGTGGCATTTAGTAGGGCGAAGGATTTGCGACACGTCGGTCACTACGGCGGATCTCATATTCAGGCAAATTTATTCTAGCCTGCCATCGTTATATGACTGGAAGAAGCTGAGGTTACCCCGACGTGGACCCAGGACTTACACTTCATGTTATAACACAACGACGAGCTTCTACCCTATGGCATGCTAAAAGTCGTAACTTGGCAGATCCACAACTGAAGAGATAACGTGGTTCACTTCCGAACTGAGGGGTAAACTGATTTATTGATACCGCGGCTTTTGTGGCAGCTCTCTCGTATGCGAGTGAAAAGATGAGTTCGAGAAGGCGGTTGAAACGAAGAAGACTCGACTATCGGAGGAAAAATTTGATTCCCATAGTTTTCGAATTCACTATCAAACGCATTATGAGAGACAGTAACAAATAATTGTACCCGACGTACGAGAGCACAATTTTTATAGGATGAAGTTACTATGTGGGCAAGTACGTAATAACTTAAGCAGCTCCCCCCCATTCATCATTGATGCTGGCATTTGATACGATGGCTGATTGGTCGCCAGGATTCGAATGCGGGGTTTAAGTAGTAGATGCACACCAGGCTTGCAACGGGGGAGCTCAGAACCGAAAAATCTCGTTATTTTGCCAGCGGACAAGGAGCGTGTAACCATCGCAGTGCATAGGAAAAGCTATACTCAGAAGCTCAGGTGCCAATTGAAAGATCGTTATTTCTATGTGTAATACGAAACCAACCTCAAAAAACCACTGACACAAGAAACGGATGGGATATCGTTGACAATTCAAAGCCAAAGTCCACCATTGCCGATCGACCGGCGCATGACAGGAGTCCTAGAAACGATCTTGGGTCGATTCTCTGACTTTCTCAAGAAACGCAAAGAGGACGCTTCCCTGCAACCCATCGAATTAACAAAAATCTGTGAAAGTGGTTTTCCGTCGTCTCAAATCTCTAACCACTACTCCAGATAGGACAGTCAGTTCGCCAACACAACTCTTCGGGAAAATTAGAGAAATGGGCCTAGATGAGGTCCTGGCATTCCTTAATATCACAGAAGGAACCATAGATATACTTATGTAAAGCAAATACAAGAAACGAAGAATAGCCCCGGTAGAACCCAAATCCTCCAAACCCTGAGGATCTGTCTCAAGGCGTACTTTACGTTCGGCCGAAATTCTGCACTCGGTATATGGATGGCACATCTGCCACCATAGAACGGAATCAGATATTAACATTCAGCAAACATCTCAACGACTTCTGCTCGTATATGCGATGGAGAAGGAAGCAAACAACCTGGTGGCCTTCCTTGATGCCCTCGTCTGCTGTAGACCTTTTGGTAGGCAAAAAAGCTAAAGTGTTCAGAAAAGTGACAGATAAAACGCACATAACGAGTTTCAACACCAGCCACCAAAATTAACAACAAACGAGGTTGTGTAAGGATGTTATATTGGCGTGTTTAGACGCATTGCAATGAATCCTGAGGCAAGACTGCCAAATCGCAATTCCTTCAAAGGATGCTCAGAGCGAATAGTTACCCAAAACAGCTTCGCCAACCACTGCGTGCAAACTCGAAACCAGATACCAAAACAAACCAGCCGTCAATTTGAACAAACACTGCCCTACGTCTCGAACGTCTCCGAAGCCGTCAGTGGCCTTCATACATTATTCGGAGTTCTGGCTACAAGCGGACAGGAGGCAACAACCAGGCGCAAACTCATCTGCCCAACTGTCACAACAAGGAAAATCTGGAGTCGTTTATACGTCTTGTTGTGGGAAAATTAGGTGTACCGCAAAATTAGGAAGTTTGGCCTGGACACGGCTGGCCTAACGCACATGAACAGTGAGCGGGGATGGCGACAGCTCTCAGGTCAGGGCTCACTCAACAGGATCCGGCCACTTTCAAATCCTACGAGGCTGAAAGCACTGAGGGGGTGCGAATTTTTTGAGTCCTGGTTCTATAAGCACTATGAGCTCACTTCTATTCATTCAGTATGAAGATTATGTCTGGGCGGAGTAATTATTCGCGTGGGTGCACGCGGGTTAACGTTAATTCCGGTGGCAGTACTGGTAAACCGAAATACCTAGTCAGTATCACACCTTCTACCAGTTCTGTTGATGAAATTGCAGCCATTATCGACCGAATCATCGTCACATAAGTATGAACATTTATGATAAATGCGACGCTGTTACTTCTAGTAGATACGTGGTTGAGTAGCAGCTGCATCCTATAAATTCCGCAGCCTTACGCGTCCGTTACCTTTACAGTAGGTGGGCTAACTTATGAAATGTTAACCGAAATTCCGATATGCGTTTTCGTTTCAAAAAGATTAATTAAGTAGGGTTGTAAAACTAGACAGCCTGCAACATAATTCTATAATATTTCAGTTACCTCAGAATGCCGGTTTTCGAACGAACCTCCTTCCGGCTGCGTGAAAAAACTACACTCCATAAAAAAGACTACTTAAGCAGAATTAATTTTTCCCACTGATTTTCGATGCCCCTAAATGTCTTATTATATTTCATGGAAAACCTTCATAAAAATATTTATTCATTCTTTTGCTCCTTCGGTAGATATTTAAGCCTTCTCCTAATTTTGTACTCGATGGAAGGATATAACTCGGTTTTCAAAAACTTTTCCAATTCCCGAATAATTTTGAACCCGCTCTATCGTTACGCTTGGATTCAGGGTTTCCAAGCTGCAAGTTGTTTATTTTCCGCGTACGGAAAACCACGGTAATAAAGGGGGACCACATGGGGTTCATAGAATTCAGCAGTGGATTTGATCCATATTGTTAACTTTAAAAGCCACATTGGTAAATCGGACAGATGACGATTTATGAACGGTCATTTCACGGTATTTAAAAGTCCCACAATTTGAAACGTTTTTAAATCCAATTGTTGTCCCTCCTTCGAGTATAAATTAGAAGACGACGTAAGAATGAATATTTTTATGCATGTTTTCCATGAAATACATTCGAATTGTTAAGGGCATCGAAAATCAATGAGAAAAATTCATGCCACTTAAGTTTTCATTTTTTACAGAGTGTAGTTTTGCATGCAGCCGGAAGGAGGTACATTCGAAAGCCGACACCCTGAGGTAACTGAATTATTATAGAATTATGTTATAGGCTGCCTACTCTCCCAACTCTACTTAATTAATCTTTTCGAGTGGAAATCACATTTCGGAATTTCCGCTGACATTTCATGAGTTAGCCCACCTACTGCATATTTGATGCTTACGATGAGTGGTTCAATAGTGGATCTGGAGCATCTGACGAACCGAATTACAGTTCCAGTGATCGAGTCTCCTTATCCCCAGATCCCAGACTCTGTCGTCAAAACTGGGCCATGCCCATGTGAGGCTTAGCACGTGTGTGGCTCTCGTAGCCGTGGCTTCGGCTACTACTGCGCCCCCATCGGACGCCAATTGTCTTGACTTTGTCTTGCTGTTGGAAGAGCGTCGGAAGACGGCGTGAGGCACATGTGGTGCAAATGCTGGGCCTTGATTGACGGCCAATTAGGGTGCAAGTCAGCCCTGTGCTGATGACAGCAGTTGCCTGAGATACTTAGTAAGTTTAAAAAAGCAAATATATAATTCAGGTGAGAAGCAGAGGAGGACGATGGAAACGAAGCCAGCCAAAAAGGCTGGAGGATGAGACGAAAGTTGAGGCAACCATTAACCGGAAAAGCATATGCTGGCCATTGGTGCGGCACAGACCGTCATGCGTACATGCTTAGTTAGACACAAACAAGCACCGCTGCATCTGTGGATTGGACAATTCATAAATGACCCGAAGTGCGGATATGCTACCCACACCAGTTGGCAGGTGGTAGCCATCCACACATAGATGGGGAGCATGCATTCACTTACGCCGTTCAAGGGTCCATAAGGGGATCAGCTGCAAATAATTGGAGAGATAGTTGCATTTATATCAACCTTCGCGGTGAGAAGTCAATCGAAACATGACTGAGGAGAAATTTGCATTTGAGAGTCTGCACTTCTACTTTCTCTACTGGGGCATAGCTAGCAAAAGGAAACTGCTTAACCAGCAGTGTCCACTAAACGTCGGGTTCTCCCCGTGATGAGTTTGTTGCCTAATTTCAAAAGAGACAAAGCAGACCCAGAGTTTTCACTTTTTGGAGCCCCTAATTCGAAAGCCTGTTAACCGATGAGACCCCAGAGGGAACTCGAGGGACCCTAGTTTCTCCTTTCCTCTTGAAGGAGGGCAAAGAAGTGACGGGCGGTTGGACCACTCACCTTGGTCTCTCGCCTCTCCGTGGACGCATTCCTGACTGTGGTCACAACCTTCTTGTGTCGCTGAATTATCCTTTTCACCTGCTGACCCTCCTCGTTGATGTAATAGTCCACCTGAACCTCCGGCTCGCCGTGCGTCTCCTCCTAAAGCGAATGTCAGGAAGTACGCGGTGACGGAGTGCCAGGACACATGGGGAGGGACGAGGGGCTACATAGGTCAGTTGTCTTTTGGGACTGTCGCATGAGCAAGCCACATTTTGCTTGGGTCAGGAGCGTATCAGATCGAATCTGGTTGTAGTTTATTTGGTGTTTGTTGTGACCGAGGCCATAGGAAATTGATCTACTAGTCTGTTCGCGCGTGCATTGGTTTATGCGTAAATGAAGTCTTCAAACGTGTCTTAGCACCAATTTGGACAGACAAAAGCGCCTGTACACAAAATGCCCTCTGTGAAAGTTATGATGCTTGGAAATTAGAGAGTTTCTACACACTGACAGCCACATTCGACAAGAAGTCACATAGGCACCGGCATTTGCTGTCACAAGTTAGGAAACGAACGATTCTTCTTACTGGGAGATCAAGTGTCCCTTTTGACAAAATCTCGTGCAGTCTGACGGGCGCAAATAATCCTATTGAAATCTAAAGAAAAATATACTCAGATAATCCGGGAAGCTTTCACAGAGACCCCTGGGTATCGAACATTTGGACAGAATTCGTCTCCACGAGAAATGCTCTCAACAAAGATGGAGGACACCGGAGTGGTCCTTTGTAGATTACTTCTGTCAGCACCCAATCATACATCACACTCAGGTGTTGGGACGCGTGAGAATTTGACCCGGATCCAGCGAGTTATGGAGCATTTAGATTCAAGACTTTATTCACTCGAGTTATCAGGTTCAACATCGGTCGACTACGGCTCGAATCATATGAGGGCAGACTATTTAGAAACGACTGCTGCGAACCAAGTACCAACGGTGTTGTGGGAGACAAAGTAAACACAGAACCGTGAAAAAGCAAAGCAAACGTCCTCCAGTTGCTCGATTTTCAATACGTAACCTGAGTGTTTGAGGTCCAAGGTAACGATAGGGTGTAGGGTCCACAAGTAGGTGGAAATTACGAAAATGTACCTTAAAATTCAATGACTATAAACATTATTTATTACTTACCGTTCCCACTGCTTGCAATTTCCTCCCCTTCCTCACTAAATGTAAACTTACCAGTGGAGTTTTATTCAAAGTCCGTCATTTTTTTGAAAGTTGCTTTTTTGGTTACTTTTAATCATCGCGCTCACTTTCTTTGCCAAATTACGACGTACGATAAGACTTTTGGCAGAAATTTATCTATTTTCTGTGTCTTCTCGCTCTCCGTCCTGTGTGTTGCCCCACCCCTAAAACCTCCTCTACCACCATTCAACGTACGACACAGTCCACAGGCTAGCTCAAGTTACTTGTAGGTCCTAGGCCCAACCGTTGACCAAGGTCCAGATTAGTGTGTCAAGCTAAAAAAATTATCCGAGTGCTTTACATACAGTAGATGTGCTAACTCATGAAATGTCAACCAAAATTTCGAAATGCGTTCTCGTTTCGAAAAGATAAATTAAGTAGTGTTGTAAAAATAATCATGATGCAGCATAAATCTATAATGACCCAGTTACCATAGGGTGTCGGCTTTCGAACGAAATATTTTCGGCTGTATGTAAGATCTAAACTCTCCAAAAAATGACTACTTAAGTAGTATGCAATTTTCTCATTGATTTTCGATGCCCTTGAAAATTCAATTATATTTCATGGAAAACATGCATAAAAATATTCATTCTTTCACTTATTCTGTAAAAACCCACGTCTTCTTCTAATTTCATACTCAAAAGAAGAGTATTATTCGGTTTTAAAAAAGTTTCTAACTGTGAGATGTTTTAATACCGTTAAATGGCCGTTCATGAAACGTCATGTATCTGCATCTACGAATGTGGCTTGTAAAGTTAACAACATTGCTCAAATCCACTGCTTAATTTTATAAACCTCATATGCTCTCCTCTTAACACCGTAGAGAAGTGCATGGATTTCCGTACACGGAAATATACCGTTTCGGTCGGTGATTGTAGAAAAAAACTCCTCTTCTTTTCCCACCAGCGAAGCTTTTTCTAAAATGCTGCAGCCCAAAAATCCCACCTTCGATTTTTAATTTCTAACCCGCATATATCAGGTGTCCTGGCCATTAGCGGCACATGCACGCTATTTGCCAAGCGGGAGTCAAGTAATCGATCGATCGGCTATATTGTTTGTAAAAATTTGAAGTTTCGAGCAGCGGTGGTATGCTCACGCACCTGCAGTTATACTCTAAATACTTCTGCCTTCAGTCGTTTCAAAATTATCAACAAAGTGTTACCGCTGGGTAACGAACTAAAGATTGCTGACATGGATTTAGTGACCTTCTGGTGTTTATAAAAAATGGGACTGCCGTTCATTGCCATCTAGTAAAATGCACGACACGGGAAAGATTTAAAATGATATTTCGCTTCGACTGGCCTTGATTTTGAGCGACTTGTCTACTTTTGTCATTCTGGCCGACCGCCATCTGTATGAGAGAGTCATCATGTCGGCTAGAGCGACTTCTCAGATTGGCCTTTCACGTCTTCCTCGTCGTAGGAGACGTTCGGCAGGTTGCTTCGGGCCGAGATCACCACTGGTGTCCTAAACTCTACTGCAGTCAGTCGTTTTCATCTCTATGAAGCAATGTCACAAGGTTAGGTAAACCAAGGAAGGTTGACGTACCGTTTGGCTTGGCTCAAATCTGATAACTACGCCTCAAGTGTGAATCTTTGTCTTCGAACTTCCCTGCTCAAAGATCCAAGTTTCATTGGCAGTTAGAGAGCCAGATCTGCTCTCCCTCTTACTAGCCGGTGCTCTTGTAAGCAAGCCAGCAGTCTTCGCCCGCTTATTCAGAGTAGCTGTTATTGTCCTCATTTCATCAGACCTCGAAGGCAATCACATATGCTTCACCAAATCACAGGGAGTCCTTTGGTTGCCATATGTGCAGTAGATGTGCTAACTCATGAAATGTCAACCAAAATTTCGAAATGAGCTCTCGTTTCGAAAAGATAAATTAAGTAGTGTTGTAAAACTACTCATGATGCAGCATAAATCTATAACGAGCCAGTTACCTCAGGGTTTCGGCTTTCAAAAGAACTTATTTTCGGCTACATGCAAGATCAATACTCTGCAAAAAATGACTACTTAAGAAGTATACAATTTTGTCGTTGATTTTCGATGCCCTTGAAAATTCAGTTATATTTCATGGAAACCATGCATAAAAATATTCATTCTTCTACTTATTCGGTAGCAAATCACGTCTTATTCCAATTTCATACTCAAAATATGAGCATAATTCGGTTTCAAAAAACTTTTCTAATTCCCGAATAATTTTGAATCCGACCTGCCGTTACACTTGCATTCAGGGTTTCAAAACTACAAGCTGTATATTTTCCGTGTACGGAAAACCATGCATTTCTCTACGGTGTTAACAGGAGACCATATGAGGTTCATAAAATTAAGCAGTGAATTTGAGCAATATTGTTAACTTTACAAGCCACATTCGTAAATGCAGATACATGACGTTTCATGAACTGCCATTTAACGATATTAAAGAATCTCACAATTGGAAACTTTTTTAAAACCGAATTATACCCTTCTTTTGAGTATGGTATTGGAAGAAGACGTGATTTTTTACCGAATAAGTAAGAGAATGAATATTTATATGCATGTTTTCCATGAAATATAATTGACTTTTCAAGGGCATCGAAAATCAATGAGAAAATTGCATACTACTTAAGTAGTCATTTTTTGCAGAGTATAGATCTTGCATGCAGCCGAAAATAAGTTCTTTCGAAAGCCGACACCCTGTGGTAACTGGCTCGTTATAGATTTATGCTGCATCATGATTAGTTTTACAACACTGCTTAATTTATCTTTTCGAAACGAGAACACATTTCGAAATTTTGGTTGACATTTCATGAGTTAGCACATTTATTGTATGTTACCGAACTATGCCACACTGCGAGAAGCCACGGCAATCGAAAGACCACCTCGGACACCCGTTCGATGTAGGACCCTTCAGCGTCAGAATTACTCACAAGCACACTCCCCTATAAGACAGAGCAGATTCAAATTGTCTACGTTGGATAGATAACTAACTGAAGTAGCAAAATCATCGCAGTCTCTCCTTCATCCTGGGACCCTATAGGTCGTCTTTCCGAATTTTTGCAAAGACACGCCTTTCCTATGGGCAAATGCGAAAATACTGGCAGTTCCTAACAAGGCTTTGGTAAAGTCAACTAAAAGTCATTAAAGTCAATTATTGGACTATTCTCCCTTGGGAACTGCACCATCTTTGTGGTGGACAGTTTGAATGGTGTTAATTCAAAATAAAATATATAATTTACTATTTCTCCGAGATCACCCAACGTTCCCAGGCCCAGATCAGTTAGAATCCATAGAGATGCGGCCAAAAGGCATTAACGCACCTAGTCGAAAAAAGGCTCCGGATAGCCTAAAATGTTTATAATTTTCGTAGTCGGTCGCATAGCGACAAATAGTAATACAAGATAAAAACCCATAACGAAAAGGAAGACCGAAATGGCCAGTTACAGTTTATTATTCGTCATCAGCCAGTTATGCCCCAACATCTGGACTACCTAAACCTGAAGTTAGAATGCAGCTGGCCGAAAACGAATAACCGTTCAGAAACGACCATTCAGGTCCCATATGTCTTTGCCGTATTCAAACAAAAGACTGTGTCCTCACAAGGAGGCCAGTGAAAAAGTTCAGAAGGTTAGAAGCGGTAAGAAACCCAGAAGGAGATGTATGCAACACTTCTGAAGAAAAGAGCTTTGCTAGTTTAAGGGAATGTACGCCTTTTCTGTGACCTAGGACAGGTTGTGACCATCTGATAGGACCCGCGCGTTTTCACATCTAAGGGAAACTGGTTAACGGGCATTTGTGAAGTAGCCTAGAGCTCCAGCCCCAAAGGGGATGTAGAAAACTTCAGAGCCGGAACTCGTTGCCCACTACACAAAGGAGATATGAATTCAGATGACCACGACTGTTAGCACTAGACGCCTGAAGGAAGAGCTATTAAGCTCCGCCGAGACAGTTTCGAGTGGACACACTCATGTCTGCGGAAACTTCCGGCAGAGGACTTAAACGAATATCTTCTGTGGCATACTGAATTCTTCACCTCGATAAGTACTTTTTTATTGTCTGCTTAACAGTCGTGCCCAAAGTATGTCCCTGTAAATCAGAGCTCACCACGTGGACTGATTCGCTGTAAGAGGTCATTGGCGGAGGTGGAGGGGCAAATTCCGTCTCCGAAGCTGTCCGGATCACAGTGTCCTCGTCCTTGTCTACAGAAGAGTTGCTACGGCTGATCTCCGCCTCTTGGGGTAAGGAATGGCTTTGCTTTCGATCCAGGGTGGCCACAGTTATTGTGACATCCTGACGCTGAACATCACTCTCGACGCGTTCCGTGTTTGCCTTTGAGGAGGCCGGATGAGGTGGAAGGATGGAGGACAAGAAAACAAGAGACTGAAATAGACTGAAATACAATAGAGGCAGGTTTGACTTCCTTTCTTATTAAGACAGATCCCATGCCATGCCGAGGGCCTACGGCCAACGATTTCCCAAAGGACCTTCTGCTTTTATCTTTTACTACTCTTCTGAATAGAAGATGTAAGAAAATAAGATTTAAATACAGACCAACAAGCGATGGAATCACATCTCAGTTCGTACCCGACGGTATGCTAGCCATTCATTGAAAGTATTTGCAAGTTCATGCCAAACACAATCTGGAAGGGCAGATTTGGCAGTGTCTAAGTCGCAATTAATTTTTTTGTTGCTCTCATGCCTTCCTTAACATTTTCTAGAAAATATAAGCAGAAGTTATATGCCTCTATTCTTCTTGTTGGAAATTTTCGTCTATGAGATCTAATGTTCGATAGTATACAGCATTTAGCGCGCAAAAGTTTGGAAATTCATCCATATTTTGGAGTAAAAGTTGAATTTTATGTCTTTCCAGAAGATTATGAATTGCATATTATACATTTCTTCAGAAGAAGTCTCATATTTTTCTGCCTGTCTCCGCGAAGATGGTTTCGGTCGCTTATGAAAAGTTGGACTAGTTCGGGGTCCCTTTACACATTTTTCTGGTAGTATCAATAAACGTGCGCTTACTGGAGTGCAGAAAACTCATTAAACGCCTCGGAATTTCTAGTAGACTCGTTTCCCAAATAAAAAAATACATTGCTCCGAAACCTAGGTGTTAAGACGGTGTGACTTCCCATAAAGTCACTGTAAGAAGTTACACTCTGTGCACAGTCTTATTCTCGACGTAGTCTGTATAGATTGCGCAAGACGTTTTAACCAAATCTGAAATTCTACCATGTAGTAATGAGTTTAAAGCTATATTTCATTTGAAGTAGTTCTAATTTCGCCCCAGCAGATTTTGCTATCTAACTCCCGGCGTACACTTGGCGTCCAAAAAACCCAACCACATTCGAACCCTCAGTCGAAGTTTAAGCTGAAGCTTCCGTACGACGTCATAGCTACTCTATCTCTCTGTTGAAAACAATAGTTAGCAGGCAAAAGGTGTTATTACCGTGGCAAGAGACACTGGTTATCAAAAACTGACATTGCAACAAGAATTACACAAGTCAAAACTCAGTCTGCAGCTCAGGTTGAAAAGGGCTGCTGTGTAAGCCATTCAGCATCAGCGAAAATGAGACGCACTGTAAGCCATGCTAATAAAAAAGCTCTTGGCAGGCCACAGAAAAAAAACGGGAACCTCTATCACTAACTTCAAGATTTGCACCTGTGAAATCCCGTGCTGCAATTGCAACGCGCGGTAGGTTGACGGGAGAAGCAGGAAAGTGAAGCCAAGTTGGTGAACACATGGTTTGCTTAGCAATATGAGTCTTTCAGAAATTGTTGCTAGTAATTCTAGTAACAGCATTAATGTTCTCATTAGATCTTTTTGTCCGTAATACTCTACCGTAAACACAATGTGGTTTTCAGCCCTATAGCGAGCGTTCGTTCTCAAAACCCGTTGTAGTCAACATGAAATTCGGAAACGCTTCCAGTCGACCCGATGTGCTAAAGCATCTCGACTAAAAAAACACTCACATAGACTGACTCACCTGCGTTAGTCCTCGGTTACCTCTTAACTGCATTTTTGGAGTTAGTGGTTTTTAAATTGAGCCCGCCCTGCACAAACGTCTGCGGTCGACAGGCCTGACTTCAGGAAAATGGGCATAACAACCGAGCACTTCTTAATTGACATTACTCGATGACATGAAGTTGACTATCGCAGATCATTATTACTTTGGTTTGCTTGACCAATTCGTTTGTTATATAAACTTTGTGAAAATAGCCATGGCGTTGCTATAGAGATGACGGCTTCGGTCGATAACACCAATAACATTTCTCCAACCAAGAAACTGCCTGATAGACACCAAAACGCGTCTCCTCAATAGGCACCGTGGCGTGGCCATATGACAGCTCAGAAGTGCGATTCCTAATTATACCGAGAGGAAGCGGAAACCGCATCCATGCGTCGTCCGCGGTGCGAATGGTGACCAACCCTGTGGCTGGAACTAAAGCGCTTGAACTGGTGGCCTGATAGCAGATGATCTCCATCAGGTGCATAATAAAAGCGATTTAAAATGACCGGTGACGTCAACCTAGGCATCGCCGTCTTTAGAGCATTGGAGTTTGTTGGTATTTGTCAGCCCGGCATTCCAGATGTCGCTGGGATCAGCCGTGGATGTGGCTAAGTAACCATCTAAGCGCGGCATGGGTCAGGCATACAGGAGGGCGAAACCGTATAAATCAGGTCATTCGACGCGGACAATAACGACTCAGAGACGAATTCTATTTAGCAGGCGAGAGTTATGAAGCTCCGTATACATTCCCTGTTAAACTATTGACAATGAGCAGCCCACCAGGAAACTAGAGACAGAGATATGAGAAGGCCCCTCCCCATGATCACAATTTTTTGCCCCGATGGGCGTACCCTGACTAAGTATTTGAACCACAAACCGAAGTCCAGTCTTTTACCTCCCCTGACACTGCCCAACTAATTGGAGTCACGAGTCAAAACTCATGAAACACATACCTACATTTTACAAAGTGCCTTCCACTGGAACACATTGCTTAGCTGAGCCTAAAGTACCCATCAGCGTGAAACACAACTCCAGATTTGTGGTCGCGCAGCAACAAGCTGCTTTTCGATCAGGCATCTTTCAAATCACCTATGGTAATCACACTCAGAAGGAAATTACAACTCATACAGAATGTATTACGCCATTGAACTTATACGCCTGCTTATTTTAACCACAAATCGTCGATTAAATAAAGTACTCATGTCTAGTAGGTATTCTTTGGAGGATTATGAGCTCAGTATAATTTGATCGTGAGAGGATGTTTTGGTTCTAAAAAGTTAGCGCTATGATATATTTTTCGATCATGCATGCTTTGGAGATATAACAGACATAAGAAGGCGTTGGTTCTGATTATTAACCTGTAGAAATTAAATTTATTGGAAATCAGAGGGACTATGCATTAACAGCATAAAATAATTTGAAAATTTTTACTAGTTAAGTAACCCTATTCTTAAAGGTATACTCGACACTGGGAAGTTTAGGTTTGGATGTGACAATTTTCGCTAGCGTTCCCGGTCGGTTTCTAAACCCCCAGCGGGGGGACAGTTGGCCAGTCAATTAGCGTCCATATAAGGGACAATGGGAGAACGCACGCTGTTCCGGCCAAGCAAGAAGCCAAAACACAGACAGTTAAGCAAGCCAAGCCAAAAAACGTGCATATTTCGAAGTCGCTGGTTAGTTGCGACTTCGTTATGACGAAGCGCCGGCGTATTTTGGCGGTGAGATATTTATGCTATGCAAGGAACGAGTAACAGCACATCAGGGTATAGTAGAGGGGCCATTTACATTGGACGTAAAAGAATCGACACTGGGACACGAACCGAGACGATTGAAGCAGTGGTTGAGTAACTGTCGAGTGGAGAACACACAGGAAGAAGATGAGAGTTGGCAGGTTGCAAGGGATCCAGAAAATATTTTTGACGGAGTGACAATACGGCAGAGAGAGAGCAGCAGTTGAAGGGCTGCATAGTAGGACATACCAGAGCATGCTAGGGACTTAAAACTTTCTACCCCACCCCATGTCTTAGCACAGCAGCAGTAAATACCCACTGGAAATTGTATGCAATTGTCACAAAGCTGGAGACTGGTCCGGAGACCGTCTTAGGCAGTAACTGTCTTCGAACTGTTGAATACTTTACTTTTTTCGGTGTCTTCTGGCTGCAAACGCGCCGCTGCCGGCCCGCCTACATCGTTTGTACTGCTTGAGACTCCGACGCAGTCCTGCCTGAATGGTTAACGACCATTCGTAAACAACTGCCTGGCTGGTAGCGTTGAGCGGCGTCTTTCAGTGGCTTAACACACTGTTTAGGAGGAAATGTGATGGGCATTACGCAGTGATCTACTGCTAAGGACATTCTAATTAAAAGCCTACAAGAGTTCAAAGACTCCCACCAAAAACGTTGAGTTTCGGCAGAAAATGAGGCGATGTTCTGACCGAAAAGGGCGGGCGAGATTTGCAGAATAAACATCGACAACGGTATAGAGAAGGACCCAACTTACTTGTCAGTTGGATGTAGATGTTGTCATATGGGGGTTTTGGCTTGGCAAACATTTGCAGGCTGTTGCAGAAACTACACTGCCAAAGCCGATTACTTCCCACGACCTCACACCTTAACTCAAAATCCGTTATCTTGTGAAATTTACTTTTTGTTTATTGTTTAATTACTACTCTCATCGCCGCCGTCGTACAATAGCATAGGATAAGACTTTCGGTATAAACTCAGGCAATTTTTGCGTTTTGTTTAATTTTGTCAGCTTATTGTCTAGCTTGCTGTCCTACCCATAAAACTCCATTTACCATAAATCACTTATGGCACGGTCCACAGTCTACTAGCAGCTAAGGGGGGGTTTTCTGTTGCCTAGACATCTGCATTCACACGCCGACTCCAATGCGCACAAACTCACTGGGAAAAATGCGGTTTAGTGCGCGCAAAAGTGAACACTGTCGGACTGGTAGGGCTGCAGAAGTTCACACAACAAAGCACTTCTGAAAGGGCTACACTTCCTTGCAAAGTTTCAAAACGTTACAACATAGTATACCCAGGAAAATAAATGAAAATCTGAGCCTCCGCACCGCGAAATGTTCCATAACAAGGCGGGCAGCAGCTTCAAAGCTACCTCACTCAGTAAAGTTCACAGCTCCTGTATAAGTCACAGATGTCTTAACTTGGCGTTATACTTGCTTGGTCGATTGCGTCCGAGACGCTAATGGTCGTGAGTTCATCACCGGTGGTGGTGGTGTCGGCGGTGGTGGTGATGATGACGGTGATGATGGTGGTGGCGGCGGCGGCGGCGGTGGTGGTGGTGGTGGTGGTGGTGGTGGTGGTGACAACTAATCGACAATCTCATAAAACTAGTACATAGAAGGCATCGCTAACCCCTACGTCCCCAGAACGGCCGAGCAAGTGTCGCGTCAATCACAAACACTGGTAATCAAATTTCGGTTATTAAAAACTCGGTTGAGGGCGACGAAACAAATGTCACACGACTGCAATGGACGGAGAGCTAGTAAATTTTAGTAGACGTAGTGGATCTGCAACGGCGTTCCATAAATGCCGCGTCACCGGTTCGTTTGTTACCATTATTTATCGATGAGCTTGAGGCTGCATCTGAAATGTCAGACGAATGCAGTTCTTGTTCCAACGAATGTCTTCTGGAACGCAGAAATCATTGGCACGCACACGTCTGTAGGTTCGTCCTGAATAATAATTCGCCCCTTGATAAACATTAGTTCCGTTTGCTGCCAGGCCAACAGCCAACTAGGCGAGATTCTTGGTTGCATGTCAATGACTTACCACGGGTTTACAGCCCAACAATGACATGCCCTTCTTAAGCAAGACACTGTAAAGGTTTCTTTTGCAAGTCTGAATTCTTGGTCAGTATGAATGATCTGGCCACAGATTCTACAACCAGTATGTGTGAGAACGTCCCCAGACGGTTGCCTATGAGCTAGCAATCGACAACTCAAAAATGAGATTAGATTTATCTGCTGCTTTCCACTAGAAAATGGCTTCTTGGTCTTGGAAGACCAGCGATTAAAACTCTGTTACGTCATGCAAAGCCTTACCATTTTGGTTGCAAACCTACCCCGGTTGCGTTAATTAATGTTGATATATGTGATGGCGCCAGAACATAAGCAATGAAATATCCGCAGATGGTCCCGGAGACGAGTAGAAAGCGTGCATACTCAGCCATGCCATTAGATGCAAATGGTGGAAGCAACTAGCTTTGTGGAGTCTTTTAAGTCCTGAATGCCCTAATCACTGAAATAATCGCCAGTGAAACAGAAAGCGCCGCCTGTCGGAAGTCTGGCTGACGAACCCCTAATATTTGGTCACTAAACCGCCAGACACAAAAAGCATGGTGAAACACGCCTTTCCTGGCCTGTTCTGCCTTAAAAGCAATAAAACTCCACAGATCCCCCCCCCCTACTTCAGGTCTTCCAGTTTTGTAAAAGTAGTACCTCTTTCGACCGTCTTCTTCAATGTTATCAAACCCTCAACAGTTCTGTCCCGGATGATACTGCGCGGCTGGTGAAATCGCAGTTATTCGGACTAGTGCTCTTGTTATTATTCGGGAACTAATGCCAGAATTCCTGGGCGTCTTTAACGTTGCGTATTTCGTTCGCTCATCCACATCCTTCAGGGAACTGACTTTTTCTTGTGCAGAAATTGTGTTTACGTAATTATATCAAGTAAAATATCAGTACATTTTGTCGAAAATGGACGTTTGAATATATTTGTGCAATTTTCTATGCCAATGCATATCGTAGACTCCGGTTACGCCTCTGAGCGACTTTTTCAATGAGAGGATAATAATTTGCCCGCTAGAGTTTTAATAGACAGATTTAACCGAACTTGAAAACTTATTTTATGTTCGATGTTAAGCGTAGTAATCAACCTGCTAACACAACGGTTATTTTAAGCAAACCAGAGGTTTTATCACTTTCTAAATGTAGAATTAGCTGACCTTTGCGATTTGATGCCCTAAAGTGTAGTAATAACGCATATAGGGATTCCTTTGTTTAAATAGGCTGAAATTGTCTTGTCGTTTGGAAAATTCTACCTAATGTCACATAAATTAAACGATATTTAAATGTAAACCTCACTGAAACACTATTATTAGACGCCACTTTATTTCTAATTTCATATTTACTACGTTTTTGGTATGAGAATACATTCTTTACATCTAAAAACGAAGTTTACTAAATAAGAGCCACTTCAGACATTTTCGGGATATTGCGCTTTTCAAAATAAATCGGCATTTCTTAACAACGCAACACCGCCTTAACTATTTCTTTTATGCTTTTAATTCTTTTAAACTTGTACATAGACATTGGACTCATGAAATGGTGTCGGTTTGAGAGTGATTGGTAATCATTCTTAAATTTCGACACATTTTATGAGTTAGGTCACCAACTGTATGCGAAAATCAGGTTGGGCTTTATTGATTACCGTGCGCGGGAAACATTAAATAAAAGTGGGACATTTTGACAGTGCTTTCAAGATCCCCAGTTGACATGCTTTAAGTAGGTGAGTAAACTGAAGGCCGTTGAGGAGCTACTACGTATATGAGTTTATTTTCATCCCAGATAATTTTCACTAAACGGGTTAAAGCCTGCAAAAATAAGGGCCTATTGTTCAGAGAATGCTCCAGACGCAGTTTATTCTCAGAGAGCTAAGGCAGCCTACTTCGGAGGAAGTACTTTAGCATTAGGATGACGCCATAAGTCACAGAAGTCGCCTTCAGACGCCTGTGTCGGAGAGCAAGTCAAAGTGACCCCTGGTCAGTAATGCCGGTAAGACTGCAATCTTTGAAGGTGAGAATAATTTTCTGAATCTCTGAAAAAAAGCGTCCTCAGCGAGCCGAATCAACTTTCCAGCTGCTCAAACCCTGTAAATGCGGGCCTATCATATCGGCGCGCAGCACTCCTGTTCAAAAGTGCCGCCAACATATGAGAACCGTGTATAGAAACAGCGGGACTGCGGAGTTTAGATCCACTGCTTGTCAGTGAGCCCCAACTTGAGTTACGATAAGAAAGCTTGCAGAACAAAAAACGAATTAAGTCACCGACTGACAGTAGTTTTGTCGGGTCCTCGTTAGTTCTCTCGAGTTGTTTATGATTTCAATGTCAACCTCACCAGTTTAGATCGATTGTCGTTCGGGTGTTAAAGAGTAGTCAGCATTACTAAGGGACAGAGATTTAGGTTAGGGAAGAGCCCAAGATGGAGTGCACAGGAAGTGTGGCCTTTATATCCTCCACTTATTGAGAAAAATCACATCGGGCATTTTTATTTGCTGCCACGGCAAAGCCCGAGGAAGGCAAACCCACCGCCACTTCTTCGGTGGGACAGTTGCCGTCATAGAAGGACAAACTGTGAGTACTATAATTGATAAGCTTACTGACTAGGTCAGCAGTAAATGAATGCTATTGTTGGCTTGACTGTCGTCGTCGTCAGCCGAGAAGACATACAGTAGATGTGCTGACTCATGAAATGTCAACCAAAATTTCGAAATGCGTTCACGTTTCGAAAAGATAAATTAAGTAGTGTTGTAAAACTAATCATGATGCAGCATAAATCTATAATGATCCAGTTACCACAGGGTGTCGGCTTTCGAAAGAACTTATTTTCGGCTGCATGCAAGATCTATACTCTGCAAAAAATGACTACGTAAGAAGTATGCAATTTTCTCATTGATTTTCGTGGCCCTTGAAAATTCAATTATATTTCCTGGAAAACATGCATAAAAATATTCATTCTTCTACTTATTCGGTAGAAAATTACGTCTTTTTCCAATTACATACTCAAAAGAAGAGTATTATTCGGTTTTAAAAAACTTTTTTAATTCCCGAGTAATTTTGAATCCGACCTGCCGTTACACTTGCATTCAGGGTTTCAAAACTACAAGCTGTATATTTTTCGTGTACGGAAAACCATGCATTTCTCTACGGTGTTCACAGGAGACCATATGAGGTTCATAAAATTAAGCAGTGGATTTGAGCAATATTGTTAACTTTACAACCACATTCGTAGATGCAGATACATGACGTTTCATGAACGGCCATTTAACGGTATTAAAAAATCTCACAATTGGAAACTTTTTTAAAGCCGAATTATACTCTTCTTTTGAAAATGAAATTGGAAGAAGACGTGATTTTCTCCCGAATAAGTAAAAGAATGAATATTTTTATGCATGTTTTCCAGGAAATATAATTGAATTTTCAAGGGCCACGAAAATCAATGAGAAAATTGCATACTTCTTACGTAGTCATTTTTTGCAGAGTATAGATCTTGCATGCAGCCGAAAATAAGTTCTTTCGAAAGCCGACACCCTGTGGTAACTGGATCATTATAGATTTATGCTGCATCATGATTAGTTTTACAACACTACTTAATTTCTCTTTTCGAAACGAGAACGTATATCGAAATTTTGGTTGACATTTCATGAGCCAACGATGGTTATTCTGATCTCAATGGATCATTTCTAGCCGTCGCACAAATTGAATGCTGAGGCCGACTTACATGTCCCCAACCGAAGGACGGATCACCCGTATTCAGTCCTATTCAGCCAACTTAACACACGTCACATCCATCTTGCTGTGCATGCTTCTGGTCGAAGTTGACAGGGCATATGTCTATGACCCAGTGGAAGAACGTTTGACTTAAAATCGCCAAACCTCGGGTCTAACTTCTAAATCGTTCCAGGATGGAATCGGCGTATGAGCGGATACACTGGAGCAAATGGACGAACGACACCAGCTGCCCTACTTATACCACTTCCTGTCAGCCCGCGTTCGACCCAATGGGTCTTACGACCTAGTAGACACATGTGAGTTTCCTAGGAAATGTGATCTATTCCAGGTGCTTTCCATTATACAGTCAGTGACCCATCTCATGAAATCCTAAGCGAAATTCTGAAATGCAATTTCGATCAGAAGGATTACCTAAGTGGGGCCGTAGTGTTGATCATCTTAAGACTTAATCCCGGAATATTTCAGATACGCCGTGGTGGTAACTTCCGAATGCACTTCTCTTCGGCCACCTGCAAAAACCGGACTCGGTAAAAAATCATTCCTTAAGTAATGTGCACCTTCTCCACCGAATTCCAATGTTCTCGTAAATTCAAATGCATGTTATAGGAAACTTCCACAAATATATTTATTCCTGCATTCATTTAGATAGTAAATTAGGTTTTTTCACGTTTTATACTAAAAGAAAGAGCGCCTTTACTTTTGAGGTTTTCCATTCCCGGATAACTTTAAGCTCGATCTCTTGTTGCGTTTCTGTTAAGGGGTTTCTAGTTTACCAGCTGTATACTTCCCGTGTAAAGAAAAGCATACATTCTTTTATGCCATAAAGAAAATATCATATGGGACTCATAAAATGTTGCAACGGATGTGCCTATGTTGTATTCTTAATGAGGAGCATTGTTAAAGATACGGATATGGTGCTATTTGCATGGACAGTGCACAGTCTTATAAAATCTTATAACTATAAACGCTTTTTAAAACCAAAGGATACTCTTTATCCGAGTATCTCACTTGAAGGAGACATAATTTGCTACCAAAGAAATAAAGAATATAGTTGTTTAGTTTTTCGGCGAAATATTTTTGAATTAATAAGGGCGTCGAAAAACGACAGAGAAAATGCATATCATTTAAGTAGTCATTTTTTACTGGGTGCGGTTGAAAGAAGTGCATTCAAAAGCCAACATCCTGGCATTTCCGAAGTATCACGGGATTATGCTTCACCATAATCGATATTACAAGTCTACCGAGGTAATCCTTCCCAATCGAAAACGCATTTCAAAATTTCGGTCAAAATTTCATGAGATCGGTCAGTGGCAGTAAGTATACAGGAAGTGATTTCACTCTAGGTCCAAAGTGTAATCTTCCTTACGCAAGCGCAGAAGGGAATATTGTTGAAAAACGGCGTATATCATTTTTAGATGAGCCCGCTTAAACAGTACCTTATAGTACAATGATGCAGCTGTTTCTTAAAAACATAACTGACAATAGTCAGACATCTTTCAACTGATGTTTGTTATCGTCTTATGTAACCAAGGCATGAAATGAGAAGAGTGGGATGGTATTCGATAGACTTCGGCTTCACAATAAAAGGTGTTAGCTAGGGACAGCAGAAGGGACGCGGTGTGATAGAAATGACGGGGAGGTAATTAAACTTACAGGCATCTTTAGAACAGCATTGATGTCTTTCGGCCAACGCTTAGAGTCACGAACGTCCTCATCAGCCGCCGCGAAGAGGTAGTACCACTCTCTCTAAAGTATTGGAAAATCGTAAAAAAATAGAAGTGGAGTCAATTACACGTCGGTGCGAAAAAAAACTCCATGAGTAACATAACATCCTTCATTTCGCATATCCCTGAGGCCATCGATACTTGTTAAAAACTCCACCATTTTGAAAATATCCTAGACCAGGCTTTCAAAATATTTTGGAACAAAAATCCCTTTGGTTTTATCAGTTTTTACCGAAAACGACAAGGTTTTAAAAACGGTGTTTTTCATAGTTACTTGTGTTCTTTCTAATTAGCGTTGAATCCTATCTCCCAAAATTGGCGACAGAAATGTCAAATAAGGCTTAATTCTATGTCACGGTATCTGCTTACAAAAGTAACTATTTCAAGAAGAAATGGAAAGATTTATTGGACCTGCGCAGAAATTCGGGAAAAGAGCAAAAACTGTGACTGAAGTGTTTTCATACACGTTCACTAAAAACCGAAAGAAGGCCACCAAATCTATAAAACCCTACTGTTGATCGGAATTCCCGTAAGCAAAAAACGCTTTACAGCGGAGTCGACTGTCCTTTCCTGCGGAAGTCGCCATGCGCAATAACTTCGTGCTAATTAACAACCAAGGGCAGTCAGCTGAATAACTGCGTGCCAGTACTTAGAGCTGCACAACGCCTACTACGATAGGGGAGATCTAATCACAGACAGCCGCGACTGAGAACACAAAATAAAAACTCACAGTACGGAGGGTTGGTAATCGACCAAAGTAAAGTTCCCGGACTACTAAATCCTACTCGGAAATTATGCTTAAATTTGTGAGGAAAGAGACCAAGGACCCAGGTTGCGATTTCATAAACAAGCATATTGGTTTTTTCTTCTTAGTATGCGTAGCAAACTCTTGTAAAGCCATGTTTCCTGTAAAGAACACCCGGTGGGCTCCGCAGAGCGCCCTAATATTTGCTTTCATTAGTTGGTTTTGACGATGGTTCCAGCGAGATTATAAAATGCAGATCAGGTTTGTCCGTTCAACTTTACGTTAAGATAGATTTTCCGAAAACACTCTTAGTCATTTGAGCCCCAAAGACGTACTGGCATCTAGAAGAGCAGGTCAAATAACCCAAGTCTTAATTATCAGATTTTACGAACTGCCGCAGATTATGCCTCGACACTAACTGAACAGCAGTTTCTCAGGCGATGGTTAAAGGGTGTCTGCAAGAAGTCATGAAAATCGAAACGGGTCCCTTTACTGCGGATGGATGAGGCCATGTACCACCCGCCCACAACAGTCCCCTGGCGGCTACATGATCCGGTTTAGGGCAACATTCGCAATCGCTTCCTCACTGCAGGCTGTGCTAGACAAGGCACTTCTCACAAAGAACAAAGCCCATTATCGGACAGGGTAGAATCATGGACCACCGTAGTTCCACGATGGAGCTTCCTGTGCAAATTCGGAAGATCTGTCGCTCAACTCCGCCCGATAACAAGTTTATTCCTTGTGCGAGCCACTCTTTTTCCTATAATGTGTAATGGGGACGCAATTGCTACTAGGTAAAAGGACAAACCATAATAAGTGTCATCTCTGCCTTGATAACAGTCTTACGACAAATCTTGATGTCACATTGAGATAAGAATGCTGTGGTGAGTGTCATTACCGAAAAAGACCAGGGAGACTGGTCTCCCTTGTCTTTGTCGGTTATAACATTCTACCTATATCATCTACCGCTGTATATTGAACTCCGGCATGCCACAATGTAGGAATTTACTCGAGGCCATGTTATATGTCTAGTTATATTCTAGACTCAGTTGAGTAATCTTTCCTATTTATGAACATAGTCCTGTTTTTTGGTAAATTCTGCGCGAGTGTTGACACATGTAGTAAAGATAGCTGGCGTTTGGTTTCGCATCTGGCAGAACGCGATTTCGAAGAAAAATGGTTAGTAGGCGATCCACCTCCGCTACCTTTGCCATACTACCCACCACGGAACAGTATCAACCGTAACGCAAATAAATGCAAGACCAAACAAACAACACGGTCTCCGCAACTCGATCACATTTCAATAGAAGAAATGGGGCCGGATGGAAATGTTCCACTCGTTCAATGAAATGATTACCGATGACAGTTTCAAACAATCAGTTGCCGATAAACAAGTGGAAACAGGTACAAGGTGAGCCTTTTTAATAACTACATGGAAAGAATGGTCCGAATCGCTCTACAGCGATCCAAACTGCTCTACCTTGCCTAGCCGGACGCGAGGATGGTAATAAATGAACTCTTTTTATCGGTTAAGATACGTGCGACATTTCCCTGCTTTGTAAACCGACGAATTTAACTAATGAGCTGAAACGTTTTGCTAACTGTCGTCGTTATAAACGCTAGAGAAACAACGGTTTCAATGTTTTGGTCATGATTCTTCTAAAAACATACATACTAAGGGAACAACTAGTGGTTTGGAGGTTATGTATTGCTGCGAAAATTTTAATCTCTCGAAGTAGCCTATTTTGCAGTTGTTTCGAAATTAATGCGCCAGTAAAAACCGTATATTTTGGAAAATTCTAATAAGTGGGCAACATTCCTAGGGATTACGCATTTCATTCATCTTGGTAAACCCATTTTTGGACGGGTAAATATCAGGTGTCGTCAATGCGTTATTTAAAGTTCTACGTTCACATGTTTTTCCAAATCTATAATAATCCAAGGAATGTTACAAAGACTTGAGGAACTGAATGGCTCGTTGGGATTTATTGGTAAGCGAATAATCCAAGCGTTCCTATAAGTCGAAATGTTGGAATCACGCTTCAGCAGTTGAGATTGCGAATATGCAAAGCCACATGGCAGCGATGTTTACCTTGCCATACTGATTGCAGTATGGAAATAGTATTTTGTTTGGATTTGGTGGAGAAAGTCAGGAGTCAGTTCAAGCGGACGCATTACGACTAGCATTCAATAGCCGAGGAATATTACCGAGTTGACTGGAGACATTGGAATGACCGTTTACCACGGCTTGCAAGCCATCATCATAAGGATTAAAGGGCTAATTTTTAAAAGTCGATTGGCTAGCATATGCTTTCGGTAATTCCTCATCAGGCCTGTACAATTACAAGGGAAATGATCAGTTTAATTGTCGACAGGGTATAAATGTGTCTCGGGGGCTTAACTAGCAGCAAACTAAACAGGACTGATATATTAATTCATTGTTGAGAAGCATCGCTATCTGCCGATCGAATGAATGAGTCATAAATATATTTGTGCAAATTGAGTCTGACGGGGGTAGAATTCCAACGCGGATATACCGTTTTGGATCACATAGCTCAATAAATGTCACATTTTGATAAAAAGGAAGGTTGGTAGGACTTATTCATGTGGCCCACCAAACGGGACATGGGAATAGGAACGCCGCGCCCAAGTTATAAAGATGAACCTGCGCATAATTCCGGAAAGGATAAAAAAGTACCTTATCCTGACCCCAACAACAGGCCTTATATAAAAATAAATCGTTGCCCTAATCTTAACTATAACCCTTCTCTAAACCTTAACTCTGCAGTTAACACTAGCCCCCCACATTAACCCAAAACCTGATCCTGACTTCCCTTGCCGCTATCTTTAAATCTAGCCTAAAACCCAATCCTTAACCTCAAACCCATCCCCAATTTCACTGGAAGTGAGCCGCATAAGTCAGTCTTATCTAAATGTTATTTCTGAACATTTAGCTGTCGTTAGAGGATGTTTTATTCGATGTCCACTCTACTCTTCCAACTCCGACTGGCTGTTGTAACTTAACTGGAAGACAAAAGCAATAAAAAAAACCTCTGCGGAACTAACGTTTGCAAATGGCTGGCAAAACCTGAACAGAATTTTGAAGAGGTCTAAAATAGCTATGACTTAATTGGATTTACTTTTGACGGGAATTTCAGCAGCTCTTGAGCATCTTGGCCTGTGTGATGAAAGCCATTCCTCTGTTATTTCCAAAATAGGCGCGACTTCAGACACGTGCTTTACAGCCTTGCTGCAAAATACTGAAACTCCAGCGGCTTCGATACGGTGTCCCGTAGTGTTTATCATTTCCAATATCGCCTTACCTTACTGGACGGTACAACCGAACGTCTTGGAGACGGTTTCAATTGGGAAAAGTATTTTCAAAGACGACACTCAGAACTCAGTGATCGGCTGAACTCCTGACATTCCCATCATGAAGCGACACAAAAACGACAAAACATATGTCTAGACTTTTTTCTAAGGTCCGCGCTGTGCGCTGGCAAGCCAATTTCTGGGATGAATTAAAAATCTTCCTCGTCTTCCTACCTATGTAAAAATCCATTTTCCTACAATCCAGTCAATAACTCGATGTCCTCTTGGTGTAATTAATCCTTTTTCCTTTAAGGCGTCGTGGTAATTCGAGTGGCAAGGTACCCTTCTAGGGTAAAAATTTCTCTTGAAGAAATCATCCCGTTATTTCAGACCGGTAGGGCTGTCGGTGTATTTCTTGAATGGTGGGTACTACCGAGTCGTGTGTGGTGGTACTTTGGTAGAGATGATGAACCTTAGCTCGAAATAAAAGCTGTTACTCGAACGCCAACTCCAAATAGTGGTAAAATGCGCCTTCTAAATCCCGCCCAGACATCAGCAGTGCATCGAAAAACGGGGCGCAGAATGCAAACACGATCGTATACGTTGGCCAGACTTGGTACAGTCTGGGAGTTTTTGCTGATTATTTGTAGATTGTCCTTAAAACAGGACTCTAGTGGATGCCATCATTGCCGTTAGTCAATTATGTTAATTTGAGCCGGTAGTAGACGTTGTATTTGGTTTGGAAGGTCGTCGATGAGTAGTCTGCACACCGCAGCTTTCGTTTCATGTCCGTCTACATTCCGACAATACATAAGTACTGTCGCCGTCGGACGGCGTGCATGGGAATTTACGCCGATTTATCATGAACTTCGACGTCCTCTTTACGCATCATTCGTGACTGAATGACATAAAAATAACCCAACTTGAGAACGCCACAGCCTAGCCAATAGGAAGATACGCAGTAATATGGTATGACGTCACGCTGCCCGTTTCCATGCGACCCACTCAGACACAGTCAGCCGTCTACGCAGTTCGCCCTTTTTGATAACTTAGCTAATATTTATCAAGTCCTGCTGCGGGGGGGAGGGCACAATGCGCCAAATTACAGGGCAACACCACGTACTCCACCCATTGGATGAACCACCATTCTACGTGTGCATTACTACCCATGATGTCGGTTATTCCTGCCTATTCTTCCGCATTAAAATCGCGTCGAAAGAGGGCTGTGTCCGTGGGAAACTTCAAAGAGTACGAAGCATGCGCCGGGAAGCAAATATTAGGCTTCCCACGCTGCGTTTGCTTAAAGAAGATGGGAAACGGATTTCGCCCACTAATTTAAGGTGACAGAATGCGTGTTAAGGGACATAGGTGACCCTGGTTAATTACGGAGGCGGAGAACGTAACTTTCGTTAAAGTCGATATATGTCGGCAACAAGTGGGATAAGTTACAAGGTAGCGCCCGAGAAGGGATAAACGCAGAAAATACCCCAAGGAAGTGAAAACGTGTACTTTCGCCATGATGATAATAATAAACAGATTTATAGGACTCCCGGGAATCTAGTAAGGCCCTTGCCGACTGGTAATTGAGAGGGGAGGAGAGGAAAGAATATAAATCGTCGTATCTATGGTTGCCCAAAAAGGGTGTTAATATATACGGTAAAATCGTTTGGTTTTGAAGCGAAACTATCAATGTTCTTTGCTCATTCATAGCAGCTGGCTGTTTGTCACACATGATGCTGCAGGCTTTCCAAAATGTCCCACGTGGGGGAATTATACGCTAGATAACTAACGGTCTACCTCCATAGAGGAGCTTAACACTAGCATTTGAATTGACTTGCCGCAAGTCCTTATTCTGTGGTGGATGCGCGCTCAGCGATCGTCCTAACGGGACTCATTCGTTCCGTTGTGCCTTACGGGCTCTCTCACGAGTCCAACCAGCAGCCGCACAGCGCGCATGATATAGGCGGAATGTTACTATCAACAAAGACAAGGAGACTGGAATGGCCGTTTCTGGCTTATTAGCCGTCGTCAGCCAGTCATACCCAACCCCGGGGTGTGGAACATCTGGGACTCGAACTTGCGATCTGTTAGTTAGAAGTCCCACATCTCTAACCAATGAGCCACGGGTTCGTTGCCCTGTCGTTTTCGATCGAGATTATACAAAACTGGAGGGGCGCTCACCGATCGTTCTTACGGAGCGAGCCCATTGCTTAATGGTTAGAGACGTTGGACTTCTAACTAAAAGGTCGCAAGTTCGAGCTTCAGGTGTTCTACACCTCGGAATTAAGTATGACCGGCTGACGACGACTGATATGTCAGAAATGGCCATTCCGGTCTCCCTCGTCCTTGTCGGCAATAACATTCGGTCTTATTCTGTTGGGGAAGCACGTTCACCGACCAGGATAGGAGATATCCTCGTTCCGTTATGCTTTGGGGCTCAATCTAGAGACCTTGTAGGCCGTCACGTGGACACCAGCAATAATACAGTATTTTTGGTATTTTTTCCTGTGTAAGACTTTATTTTTGCAAAGGAAATTCTGGAAATCGAAGTTGTCAACAAATTTTGCTGACGTCAGTGGCGGTGGTCTCCCGATCACTGTGAGTATTTTTACGGTCAGAAGTAAACGGAAGAGTTGGTGCTTGAAACCAAGGGCTACACAATCGCAATCGAGACTTAAAATCAAACATGCTAGAGTAGACGTCGAAATCGAAGGAATGTTGACCGAAATGCCTAAACAGCAGAAAAAGGAGAGGCGCTCACTGGGAGAAGTGGATTTGTGTTTTCACGTCTCAAGTAGAGACGTCAGCTACTAAGGACTAAAGAGTTATGTGCACGGCTCTCATGGCAAGATCTAAGGACGGTTTACGCAAAACGTCATACGCGTAGATCACTGCTGCCAATCGAATGGCAGATGGTCCACCGTTTCGCTGTAGTCCGTGTCAGCCCTGTTGATGTTGGCCGTGGACGCCTGGGGAATTTCACACTCTGAGTACCACTTTCGAGTTCTTGCACATGACAGCGTCGACAGAAGGCGGCTTACTGTAACAAGTATCTGAGCGTCCAGGAGATAGCTAGACTACTTTTAGTTGCCTTGAAGTGAGATCCTCATCTAGGCCAGCCATCTCAATGGCGTAAAATTTGAAGATGGGTTCTATGCGTCCGACATAGGCTGTCCCATGGGACTTCAGGTCTAGTCTTCGAACAGCCAATTGAGGTTTTTTCGTCGGCGTCCGCGCCTGTCGAACGGTTTTTTCTATGGCATCTGCACCCCCCGCAAGTTCATTAAAATCGGTGGATAATGGATGACTTCTACATGTTAGAGCATAGGTCTGTTGCGTAAATCACCTACTGGCAGAGTTTTACACCAGGTCCGCGGACAACGCCAGTTGCGAATGGCGTGCGGGAGCGAACCAAGGCCTCAGATACACCCTTCATTTACAGCATCTTCCACTGCGGGCTAGGGTGGTCGGCTTGCCCACTTCAATCCATTCAGTCACTCGACTCCCCCAATGAACGTTAAAAAAATACTCATTGGCTCTGGAGAGTTCCCGAAACTGTAAGATTACATCCCGTTTGTGGCTGCAATGCCGTGGTGAGTTTCTAGTCATACGTAGAACGTCATGTGACAAGTCAATTTGTGTCGCAGCTGGCAAATTGTTGCTGCTACTGATCATTTGCAGAATGGTGATCAGTATCTAATATACTGTTATCACGAATGGTCCGTCGAGTTGGCCTTCAAACGATAAAAATTGTCCAACGTAAAATACATCGAGGACAACCACGACAAATAATCACACAATAAATCACGCAAGGTTGCATACAGGCTTCCCCTCGGTAATCCTTCGCGCGGCCTGCAGCATTCTGCATGCAAAACGTATCAATTTCTCACTGATTGTTCGGTTCTGTACATGTGTAAATGTACCATACGGATGCTAAGTTATTATCGGATTTTAATTGTTAGGCATTATTATATGACATCACAGTTCCGTGAGGTAAGGAAATCTGAAAAAGTTCCTCCTCTTGTGAAAAGTAAAAATTTTCTTCGGCGCAAATATCTGTGCATATTGAAGGGAACCTCTAGTAGGTTTAATGAATCGCACCTCAACCTTGAGGGCCTAAAATGGCCCCCAATTTGAAAAATGCCTTACCGCTGGCTCGAATTTGAAGGGACGATCGCCATAGTTGACACTGACAGTTGTGTTATACAGGGATCCTGCGGGGAAGAAAATGCTCTTGGAGTGTGCGATGAAGGAGTGATCCATTCGATAAGCTTCCGGAAACGCATTGCCATTAAGCGACCACTGAATGATACCATTGTCCAAGTCCAGAAAACACCCGATTACATCGCCCACTCGGAAAGGCTGGCGAATTAAAAATACTGTATGTTAAGTCAATATATTTGGCTGGGGTGCCCAAAGAACTGAGTCTGAACTCAGAAGTTAGCTAGCTCGATTTACGTCGGCCTGAACTCAATCTATCACTATATGCCGTTGTTCATTTGGCTTCGGCTTACAAACAACTGGATCTCTTCCGTACGTGCTAGCGAAAGATTCAAAGCAGAAAATTCCTACTTCAAACAGTTATTAGGTTCAACTTTGCCCAAAAGAAGTTAGACTTCCATCAACCCCCTGCATCGCCAGTGCAAATCTTTGAAATATTCAGCACATCGGATTCAGCGTTTCTGTGAAACCCGTTTCTTTTTTGGTTCCCTGATTCAGAAATCGGAGGCTTCCATTAGGTCGGTATATGACACATCCAAGATTCAGGCCAAAATGTGCGTGAGATGATGTCTGACAACAAAGCAACGTCGATCATCTGCAAGATGTGAATGATGGCGCCAAAGACCCACCCTCCGAATACACACTAAAGTTCTCAGCCGTGTGTTGGACGGTAACCAACAAATCAGTCCTATCCTCGGCTCATCCGACCGCAGCCAAAACTAATCACTCAGTCCTAGTAACCCGCTGCGTCGCCTGTTTCAACTGGAGCGTTGAATTTAGCAGCTGAAATTCTGGGTCCGCACAGGATGATCACTTCTACCCTGTACTTTGAATGGTTGTATTCCACCCTCAAACTTGTTCTACCTGCTCAACGTCCGGTTGGACTACCGCTATCCGCTTTCACAGTTCCCTGTCGAATAACAACAGCATCGTCTCTGTAGATCTCGTTCCAGATAAAAATAGTTACCAGGGATTGCCCTTTTCAACGATTTTAGACTTAAGTAAACCCATGAAATATATCATTTTACAGCATCAACCGAATAGGGCAAATGTTATTTGCTTGAACGGCAAAGTTGGAGGAGAAACAGTTAGTACGCTTCGATTTTTTTAATTTTCCCAAAAATCAGTGTGCGAACTTGGGGCAAATCCTTCGGGACAAGCATTTTCAGGTGCGGTTCGAAGGTTGATGTCAATCTTTGGGCCGGAATCCATCAACCTCAATGCGATAACGTCATCACATTTCGTTTTCTACCGTTTACAGCCAAGGAAAACGTGTACATATTTTCCCGACCAGCCAACGCAAGTAAGCTTTCTTTCCAGCCAACGATATGTGAGCAGAACCGAATTTAGTATAACAACGAGGTGTTGACATAATGGGAAAAAGCAATGAGTTTTTTCAAAAACAGAGCAGTGGGTGTCAGAGTAAGTAATGGGCCGTACGAATTGACTAACGAAATAGCCACATAGTCTGAATATAACCTACCGTTCCATAGGGTTCTGAAAGACCGTTGAAGACTTTGCGAGCCTGACTGCCATCGGGTCCGACTCCAAATGCGTAGCCCATATTGTCTGTTCCTAGGAGAAGACTGCCATCCTGGAGAGCCCAGCCAAATCGAGCCATGCCGGAGTTCTCTACCTGTTCTATTTCATAGTAGTACTTTCCAGATCCGAAGACTCCCTGTGGAGAAAAAACTGGAATAAGCGTCCATTGAAGCTGACCAGATAAAAAGACACATGTAGGTGCCGGATAACCGGTTAAATGGGTTGTAATCGATTCAACTCGTGCAATTTATTCATCGTCGGAAATTAAACAGCAGAAAAAGGATGCTTATTCTTTCCTGTCAGTGTATAGCTGCGCAAACACCGCAATATCAAAGGCAAAACCTCTATATGATAGCGTTACGCATGCAATATCCATTATCGACGTCCGATAAGGGCAACTTTTATCCCAAAAAAGATATAAGCGTTTATATACTTTAGTTCTTTTAATAAATTTGTCTTCCGGGAATTTGGTACGAGATAGAAAGGAACATGTGAATTTAAAGAAAAACAGGAGTCGGGCCTGTTTGTGACATCCAACGTGCATATCGTTTAGTCACTCAGGTCTACTATGCTTGCAATAGACACTCCACAAACAGTACGAATTTACAAACAATATATATGTGATGGCTTTATAAAATTTGCACAACAAAACCTTTTAGTTGCAAAAGGAACAGGTACTAGGTCAGTGTAAGATAACGCTAAAACGCTTACTGTCCTGCGCCTTCATTTAATCTCGAATGAGGAATATTAATGAGAAACTCGCCTGTCTTCCTTTTTGCTAGTTCATAAAATCTCTTTTTGATTTGAACGAATGGGAACTCGCAGAGGTCAACAGTTGTTTCGACCGCAGTTTAGTCTCTAGAACTCGTGAAAATTGGCCCAAATCCGTAAATTTACCCCCACATGTAAAAGATTGTTCGGGTGGAGTCGAAAAACTGATGGTCATAGGCCATAATCATGAATTCGTCCTTACCCCCACGCCATGCTTGCTCTCTGATTAGGGGCCTGCCTACCCCCTTATCGTTCTCATTCGCAAAAAATAAGTGTTTCGCAATGTACAGATTTGGCATGGATTTCGATATCAGTTACAGTTTTTTGTCCTAGAAACCGTTTACTGCAGTCATTTTGATGAATATTATGCTTCCGTAAATAGTGACTTAGGGTTGAAAAGGTTACTAAGGTGGTGCTGAGAAAGACAAGGGAGACTGGGATGATCCTTTGGGGCCGTCATGTTTGACAGTCCCAGAGACATCCTCTTGGATATATGTGTATACTTTAAAAAATAATTGAGGAGGCTTATGAAGTCCATAAATTATTGAAATATTTTTTTAAATATTTTTAACATTAGCGTTTCACTCCCTGGCAATATGGATAGAACTATAAGATTTCTGAGAAAGTGCACATGAAGCAATCCCGAACACTGAAGATCATATGAAATGGTTAATCATTTTTAAAAGTACGATCTGTTGAGCGTTATTAATACCAAAACATCCTACACATTTTATAGCCAACTTTAACAAAAGCAGTCCGTAAAACAGTACTCTAAGGAGTAAACTTTTCGTCAGCCCTTTTGTAGAAAATGGTTTACTTTTTTAGCAGGGGTCGGAAATCGATAAAAGATATACAACTTAGCTGACAGGTTTTTTGCAAGTGAGATAGGTGCAGCGGGTGCGACGATTGTCAGTCGAACATCGATATGGTAGGGTTCGTACAGTAACTAAAAATTGACGCTCTACCTAACTAACAAAATCACTTAGGCCATATTCCCTACATTCAGCAACCTGTTTTGTGTAACCAGCTTATACAGTATTCGAACTTATTGTCTAGGATACTACGGATAACTCCTGAGCTAGCCTTATAACGGTTTGTCAATGATCAACTTGCGAATCTATACCCCTCGCTGGTTAGTGAGGGTTTTCACAGTTCGGCGCAACCGTCCAAAAACCTGCTCCCTGTTTGAATGCGTCTCGCCTACTTTAAGTTGTGCATACCCCTTTGCCAGATGTAGTTCGTCCTCTGCTTTCCCACATTTCATTGCCCAACAAGTCGTGAGAGCAAAAAAAAGAATATCCAGAATTAAATTGTTAAGCATGAATTATTTTATGCACTAGTGGAGTAAGACGTAGTGCCCTCAGTTTGTGGTCGTCGTGCTAGTAATTAACTTTAAGTGGCGATTGAATTATGTTAGCAGTAACTACCTTCTTCCGACAGTCAAGTTAGTCATAAAGTATTTCTCAATTTACTCGAGACCGTTTTGATTAGGACACTGCCTTTATGAGCTGCTTCTGGCAGGAAGTACAGTAGTGGGCTAATTCGTGAAATGTCAACCGAAATTCCGAAATGCGTTTTCGTTTCGAAAAGGTTAACTAAGTAGGATTGTAAAACTACTCATCGCACAGCATAATTCTATAATAATTTAGTTACCTCAGGATGTCAGCTTTCGAACGCACTAAACTATGCACTATGTTATACTATACTCTGTAAAAAATGGCTTTCTAAGTAGCAGGCATTTTTCGCAATGAGTTTCGGTGCCATTAAACGTTCAATTATATTTCGTGGGAAACATGCATAAAAAGATCCATTCTTATGCTCTTTCGGTGGACAAGCATCTCTTCTTCCAATTCTACACTCGAAGGAAGGGTATAATTTGGTTTTAAAAAAGTTTCTAATTGTGAGCTTTTTTAATACCGTGAAATAACCGTTCATAAAACGTCATGTCTCTGTATTTACCAATGCGGCTTGTAAAGTTAACAATATAGCTCAAATGCACTGTTAAATTTTATGAACGCCATACGGTCTCCTCTTAATACCTTGGAGAAATGTACCGTTTTCCGTACGCGGAAAATATACGGTTTGTAGTTTGTTAACCCTTGGTGCAAGTGTAACGGCAGGTGGGAGTTCAAAATTATTCGAGAATTAGAAAAGTTGTTGAAAACCGAACAATACCCTTCTTTCAAGTATAAAATTTCAAGAAGACGTAATTTGCTACCGAACGAGCAAAAGAATGAATATTTTTATGCATGTTTCCTATGAAACATAATTTAATTTTCAAGGGCATCGAAAATCAATGAGAAAAAGGCATGCTACTTAAGTGGTCGTTTTTTGCAAAATAGGTTTGGCATACAGCCGAAAAGAAATTCGTTTAAAAGCTGGCATCCTGAGGTAACTGAATCGTCATAGAACTATGCTGCATGATGATTAGTTTTACAATTTTACTTAAGTAATCTTTTAGAAACGAAAACGCATTTCCGTATTCCTTTCGACATTTCATGAGTTAGCCCACCTGTTGTACGTGGTATTCTAAAGATCCCACCTTCATGGCGCACGAAAGGTCAACATAATTAGCTAAACAGCTAATCTTCTTTACTATATGCTGAAGATATCGGGTTGACATCCAAAGTGATGCATAGATCAATTTTGTCTCAAAAAATACTAAAAATACGGTCAACACCCGCCAAACGATTTACTGCCTTATAAAGTCTCGTCTGGATTGTGATTCCTGACGACACAATGACATAACGCGCACACTTTTGCTGATTTATTTTGCGGCCCTGTCAAGTTGGCGCGTGAACACTGCGCAGACATCGGTCGCCTAAGAAGTGATTTGCATAAAGCAGTTATTGCCCCCCCCTCTCCCCAGTGTTCCGCTACCGCGAACACGAACCTTGTTGGCGCGGAAGCCATGCCAGCCATTAGCGGACCTGGTCTGGATCATTCGGCCGTCCTCGGACACCTGCAGGTCGGCCGGGGAGGTTACATCAAACTGGTTAATACGCCAGCCAGCATTCACGTTGTGGACCACTTGCTGCAGGGGTACCATGACGGGAGGGAGCCAATCAGTGCGGCCGCCGGTAAGCTCCTCAGGCGCGTAAGTGAAGGGAACCTCGCCAAAGTTGAAGGCCACGCGAGCGTCCTTGAGTGAGGCACCTAGGTGTGGAGGGGCAAGAATAGGCATGGGTGGGTGGGCGGGATTTGAAACGGGACGAAGGCATTACAGCAGTTACTTACTTTAGTCTAAGAAAGGCTTATTTCGCAAATAAACAACAGTACACGTCGGTATTTACTTTTCCCGTCTTCGTCTTACTGCCACGGGCTCCTAATCATACTGGCTTCTGGAAAAGTAGGAGTACGTACTTTTCTCGAGTAGTGGCACACGCATTTTGCCGCTCAATTTTTACTGGGTTTTAACACTGTAAGTCCATAAACTATAAGTACGAAACGAAATATTTTATTTACAGTACCAGCCATTCATTTGCGGATCAGCTGACAAACATTACGATATGAGTGACCTTGCGTTTGTGATCCTGCGGCTTGCTATAGGACTTATTGTGTGTCTGGAACTAACTAAAACTGGGTGGATTATTAGCTTAAAGATAGTAAGATGTTTTAAGCCATAAAAATGGAAAGGGCAAGCTTAACTTTTATTAAAAAAGGCGAAGACTTATTTTCAACTTAAAGGCACTAAAAGGGACAGTTTTAGCGTAAATTCTCGACTAAGTCCTTTGCCGATTTCGTTATATGATTATTCTGTAAAGAGAAAATCTTTTCGAAAGTTAAATGCGATCAAACATTTTGCTCGAGCTTGACGGAAACGGAACCATCATACGGTCAGTTATGTGACCCTAAAATTACAGAATACATTAGGGCACTGGCTTAATGCTTGAGCGGTGGACTTTAAAGTAGTTCAATTCGTTTCAAAGCCCCGGTCCTTCCCCTTTTGCCTAGAGTGTGACCGCCGTACTACACCAAAGGTGTTCGAAAAAGCAGATTCAGTCTCCTCTGTACTTGTTTTTAAACTATTCGCCAGATGTTACTTCGGCAACAGCCGATTCATACAGACTCGAGTCCATTACTTTGCTGGTGTAGCCCGACGTCCTGCATTCACCGTTTTAAAATATGTAAGCTGTGACGCCACAGCTTAACAATTGTTGGACTCTTTCAGTGAAACAGCGAGAATAAGCTAGGCGAGTTTAATGTATAGGAAGAAGAAAATTAAATATTATCCGTAGATGATGTCTCGACGAACTTGGGAAGAAGGCACTCTCAGTTGCCAGCTCTGATGGTATTCTTATCTCCTGTATGCTGGGCGAGATGACGATCTGGCCATTGTGAGCCCAAAACACGTTGCCCTCGAGGTCCGATCCATAGGGCTGTTTTCGAATCTCTAAAAAGCAACCGATCACGTCGTTCACAACCGCCGGCATGCCCATTGCGTGAGATTCGCCTGCATGCACGAAACGACCATAATTGGAGTGACTTTTTGGAGATCCCTGGCCTAAAATAGAACAGAAAAAGCGTAGGCCGGATGTACTTCCTTCAAAGGGCATAAAAGGCGGAAACATGGGTAAAACAGTTAACTCTTGCGCGTTTAGTGGATCTTCTAGTGGCATCTACAAGCTTTTAGCTTCAAATTATTCTATAATGGTATAGACTTCGAGCGCTTGCCTCTGATTTCATATGTACCTAAGGACAGTAGAAGTTACTTCCGTGTTAATCACGTCTGAATACAGCAAAAGGTCATGTCCTCCAGATTGGAACAAAAACAAGAAGGTAACATAATTCCGGACACGCCCTAAAATGTCTGGTGTTGATTTGTCCTGGCGTTAACCTGTGAGTTTATAGTCGCACCTAATCTTTATCACAAAGCAATCATGAAGAAGGTTTTGTGCTGACTCATAGAGGTGCGGTAATTCTGAACAGATAAGGGGGAGTATTGTGGTAAGACCAGCCTATTGAGAAGCAGAACCAGGTTTTTTGAACCCAGAATTAGGGTAGGCTCTTGAAACTGAACCGCCACTTTCCTGCTGTCTATTCACGCGAGAATTTCCCCAATTGTAATTCGGTTGACCCCTTCTACCCGTTTATATACTGATTTCTCTCCTCTTTTGTTTGGACTGAGATTATGAAGTCCCTGTGCGTTGCGCCAGTACCATATTGAAGGAACTAAAATCGCGCGCAAATTTTCCCCCGTATTTGCCATGATGGCGACAACTGAAGTTTGCGGCCAATATGTCGCATTAATGTTTTTCGCATATTTATTTCTTATCCACAGTGATCAGTGGACGTTTTTTTCTGAAAATTTCGGAGAGATTCATGCAAAATAAAGCGTATTTCTCTTGCTCTCTCCCTGATCCGGCGATATTCGAGCTTCAGCTTGCTTTTTTCAGTAGCACGTCTTCATCACAACCTCAGGAGGACGCGAGATTTCCAGCCGAGACGAATAGTTCCTACTAAGCTTTCCTAGTAACACAGCTTTCGAACTTTAAGCGTACAATACACTGTTGGATAATGTTCGTTGTTTCCGACCACCGGCTGGGAAAAAAACTGGAATGGAACTGCGTAGCAGGATCTGCCAACTGCAGTCAGCTTAAGCATTCCTACATATACGAAATGTGCTGAAACCCTTGGAAAATTGTACGGGGTCGTCGAACAATGTTTTAAATAGAAAATATTATTTAAATGAAGTCTTATTATTTAAAGACCTTAAGCAATGTCGTAAGCCAACTCATTTCACGTTGCATACAGGTCCTTCACTAGAAACCCTAATAACCGCTACTATCCATACCATTCAGACGAGTTGCTACTTAAATAGTTCGTGAATTTGTTCTTTGATTCTCCGTGCTTATTAGGCATCATATTTGTCTTTGGGAAAATTAGGCAAAATGTGGTTAGTTAAAAAAATATGCCCCTGAAACGGACCATGCGAAAGATTCGCTGGACCAACACGGAGGCCAGACCGATTTCCGCCGGTGTTATCAGGAATGCGCATCCATAATAAATGCCAACATTGGGGTGTGGTGGCATGTCCAGTTTATTCCGCGCCAACCGGAATCCGTGCCGCCCCCTATTTGTCCTATGGTATAAAATCCTGGTCAGTGTATGCTGTGGACCGGGGGATGTGGTCGTACGCCTAGGTGCAGGTTTGCGCCGTGCCAGCCACCTGCGTTATCTCCCGCCTCCTTGACTTTTTATTGACGCCGTATCCAGGTGAGGAGGAGAGAGCCCGGTAGATGGTCCGCAAAAGCCCACTATCAGTTTGCACTAACTCACACGGAAGTCACCATATCTGCTCTCACCCTGCTGTGAACCTCACGGTGAACATCGTCGAAATCGACCGTCGGACTGCCACCGGGTAGGAAAATCGACTCCCTCGGGGCTTTAGATTGGAAAGCACTGGTATTGCAGCTTTAGAAAGCTCAGTACAGACGGGCGCAGGGTTTTATCGACCTGGTCGCAGAGCGGAATATGCACGCTTCACTGTGCACTGGAAAACAAAACTAAAGAGTCCGCACAGGCGGCCGCCTACACACTAACAACCAGTAGTGCAAAACGAATGCAGACAAAGGAAGGAAAGACAGGACAAGGCTGCAGTTTTATTTACTCTCCATCACCAGCCAGTCGTATTTCAACTCCAAGCCAGGCGCTTGGGATTCGGACCCCGGTCAGTTGGTCACTGATAATCACTAAGTCAAAAGCTCTGCCAGTCAAACTATGAGAATGGCAGAGAGATGCTGGCGAGAAAACCAAAACTTGAGAAGGCCTGTTCACATGAAGTTGCTTCAAACTGGCACATTAATCGCTGGGGAAGGTAAGTAGTTTAACATCAAAAAGCGCTGTATGCACTAGGAGACACAAGGGGTGCGCTGAGAAGAACCCCATTAGGCTGCACCATGCAGCAGTACAAAATCAACGAAACACTTTTCTGGGTTTTCAACTACTTCCCCTGCGGTAATTGTGCTAAAGCAGTCAGTACTTGTATACTACTGGCCGTCTGTGGGCAGCTTACAAATATTATGCGGTTATGCTGATGATGCTAAAGGATGTCAGCTCATATTGCTTATGTAAAAATTTCGGGCATTACCTGAGAATGCTTGCTCCGCATAAGTTACTCCATATCCGCGCATTAATTAAAAAAACTGAAACAATGAGACACAAGTTGTTGCCTTAGTCTCCCTTGTTTTCTTTGGTATTTCCTTTGCGCTGAATAAATCAGATAAAGCATACTTCCTCTGTTATGCGATCCCCCTTTCGCGTACTCAAATTTCAAGGCTACTCAGCTACTTCTCTAACATTTCTGTAAAGGCCCATAGTAACATACAAAGAATACTCTGACTGATCTATAACAGGTGATTTGTTTCGCAGGCCAGCTGAAGAAACCTGTGGATAATAGTTTATGTGTACATTCAAACAAAAACCGCAAAAGTCCCGGTCTTACGTATTTGTTCAAATATAAGATAAATTATATGCTTTAATATGACTGAAAATGCGAAAGAGGGGATAATAAGGGAACGACGTAATAATTGCTTCAGAAAAACACTTGACTTTACATGAGCAGTGAACATGTGTGTTGTGCCTTACGGGCTCTCTCTCGAGCCCAACCAGCAGACGCACAGCGGCGCATGGTAAAGGCAGAATTGCATTACCGACAAAGACAAGGGAGACTGGTCAGCCAGTCCTGCCCAAACCCCGGAGTGTGGAACACATGGGGCTCGATCCCGCGACCTGTCAGTTAGAAGTCCAATGCCTCTAACCCCTGAGCCACTGGCTCGTTGTCTTGTCGGTTGCGGTCGGGAATATACAATGGTAGAGGGGGACGCTCACCGGTCTCCTTTGTCTTTGTCGGTAATACCATTCTACCCATAGGAACGACACGTTGAAAGAGATTCCTTACAACTGGAGTCCTCACAGTTTGCTAGGGAAGTTGGCATTACCACTATGTGAGTAGCATTTTCAATCTCAAAGGTCGTTTAACACTAATGCCCTTTGGGTCTCTGGGCACAGCGTGCTAGTGCAAACAGGCTTTATACTCTAAATAAGCTGTTTTGCCTACCCAATGGATCGACTCCGTATCCGTAGCCTTCCGCGTCTGTGCCGAGCATCAGCGATGCAGAGTTGGTGGCCCATCCGAGACGCACGTCTCCGTCCTCCAGGATCGT